AACCACAGTAGTGCCAAAAACTTTGGCTCATGATTTGTGTAGACAAAAGAAAAAGAATCTCTGATACTGAGAGGTTGGAATTTTAAGAGCCAAGGAGATGATTAACCTTTGGTAAAATCTTCAGAATCTTATTCATGTCTTCCTCAAAATTTTCTTCGAGTATCCTATCAGCTTCATCGATCACAAGGCACTGCAATTTATAGGAACATATGTAAAGATAATTATCCATTGGAATCATCTAAACTCTAAAGCATAACACTGCAACTATTCACCACAACCCACGCCTACAAACAAAATTATAAGCCAAATGTAGTTTCCTTCTCTAAAACTATTACATATGCGGCAGAAATGAATACCGCATAAGCTGATATCTACAATTCATCTATGGCTATATTACTATTGTTGTTAGTCTACAGAAATTGACAGCCTTTGGCATAACAAGTAACAGATTTTAACATCTACCTCAAAGAAAGAAGACGAGAACATGCGCCAGATGGAACTATGAAAAGGACGGTACCTTGAGGTATTTAAAAATGAAACCCTTTGTATGTTGAAGATGGTCAAGAAGACGCCCAGGAGTTGCTATCAACAAATTTGCACCCCTCGCTAAGCATTGAGCTTCCGACCTTCTGTTATTGCCACCAATAACCATGCTTACTGTCTGTGAATGATGCTTGAGTAGTTCCTCCGCCACATTTTTAGTCTGAGATATCAATAAAGTACAGTTCAAAAACGGAACTGAGAGGCCGCAGTAACATACAACAAAATCGATACTTTACAGATCGAACGCAAATGCAATGAATCATCAGCATGAGAGATGAGAACCTCACAACAAAAGTTTCTACTTAGCGCATTGAAAGAGTTACAGGAATCATCAAAAAGGGGATTTACCTGAATAGCAAGTTCCCTTGTGGGGCAAATAACGATCACACCAGTCCCGTTGCGAGGACGGAATTGTTCTTTAAGGAGCAACTCAACAGCCGGAATGAGAAAAGCAAGAGTTTTACCAGAGCCAGTCCTGGCAGCACCAAGAACATCTTTCCCCTCCAAAAGGGGAGGAATTGATCCAGCTTGAATCTGAATGACAGAAGATGATTCACAGAGTTATGACACACGACCCTTTATGTGAACATGAGAGAAAGGTTTAAACGGTTTAAACATGAAAGAAAGGTACGTACTTGCGTCATGTGCTGAAAGCCCATCTCCTTGATAGCTTCGAAAGTAGGCTCAGATAAGTCCAGCGATTCAAATGTTTCATTAGTCATTATCCCTTTGCTCACAATCACCATCTTCTTCTCCTCTTCACCTTCTTCTTCTTCTTCTTCTTCCTTTGCTTCCATCTCTTCCTCTGCCTCTTCCTTTTCTCAATTTTGCCTTTCCCCTGCAACTTCACTTTCTTAACCTTCTTTTCTCTCTTCTCCTGGATTTCTTCTGCATTTTCTTCTACGCTGTGGGTTTCTTCATCTACCTTTGCTGGTCGTTCTTCTTCCCACGGTTTCGCTTTCGTGTCCTCTTCTTGAGCTCTTCAGTGGAGTTCTTCTCCAATTCAACCATGTCTGCTCTCTTTCAATCAATCAATCAATTCTCTGCAGAAAAATTGGAGACTATATAAATGGAAAAACAAGAGATTTGAGAGTAATTCAAAGAGAAGTATTTAGAAAGCTCCCAGAAACTAAGGTTGCCACAGGGAACGATTCAATTGTATCCTAATCATCAGTCTCCCAAAACATCTTATTTTTATTCTCAATTCAAAAATTTAGGATTGTAATACAACAGAACAGGGAAAAACTCAAGTCGCAGTACTTGATTTTCGAAGAGGAATTAGTACGGCAAAGAGAAAAAAAACTTACTTGCAGATACGAAACGACTCTAAGGAATGGTGCGACAGCGAGGACCTTGAGAGAGGAAGACGGAGGAGAATGAAGAACGCGGCGCAGAGAAGAAGAAAACGGGTTTAGGGTTTAACGAGTCTTGTAACCTTTTAATTGACCCTTGTTTTTTATTTATTTATTCTATATGACAATATCAGTAACTCGTATAAAATGCAATGAAACTTTAATTTAGATCAAACATTGTAACATGAATTAATTTTACTAAATGGTAGACTTAATTAATGAGTGAAATACATATTGATGGAATAGGGATGATTGAATTATTTTATTCTACTTATTTTTCTTCAAATTAGTAGAGGAATAATTTACAGCTTTGTGAACAAATTCAATTATTTCAAGTAGAATAGGTTGAATTGTTTTAGAAGAACACCCAATTCCAACATATTTTATTTCTCAAAATGTGTATCCATTGCACATTAAATGTATCTTGCAATATTTTAGAATGTTTTGTATGACGTGACAGCTTTAGTAATCGAGTCTGACGTAGCAGTACGGAAACTCTCCGAAAAAACGCTGACGTGAAAACTCTGAGAAACCCAAATAGCTGTTTTTTATAAAGATAAGCAATGAAATACACAAAGGACCAAAACCGTGCTTTAGTTACCATCTTTTGAGAAAGAGTTTCTCTCCCATGCACGGTTCCCGATGAGCATTAACTCTTTCCCGCGTGTGTCAGCCCCTCCGCAACCACTTTCTTGCTTCCAGAGCCCCGCCGCTCCTCCGCCGCAACCTCTTTTTTGAAAACCGCGCCCCGCCGCTGGTTTTTGAATTTTTTGAATTTTCTCCGGCGCTTTTGCTTCCTTTCCGATGAACCCTCTTCTTTCAGAGACTTCGCCCGCTTCCGTGGTTTCATTTCTCAGCTTCCCTTGTGTGGAAGTCTGAGATAACTTAGAATCTCTTCCCCGCTTCTGTTTCTCAAGGACAGGATCTCTACTCGACCCCCATAACGACGACAAGCTCCCCAGGACTGTTCTGTTTGGATTGAATCCGGTTACCAACATTCCCCTGTGTGGAAAAGGAAACCCTAAAACCACCAAACCGGTCCTCCCTTCCTCCTTAAGGAATCTCTCGCCCTCCGACTCCTAGTCTCTTTCGTCCCTCCCTTTACAGTATGACGCTCAAGTACTCTAGAGGGGAAAAAGAAAAATGGATAGCTGGTACACCCAAACCCAAACGCCGTGGTCCGGTACCTATCCCCCCAAGTAACAACCAGGTCTTGATAAACAACAAGCTCGCGCTCATAGGCCGGGTCCTGAACCCCCAGATCCAGAAACCGAAAGCCCTAATGGAATTCATGCTTCATCACTGGGAGATTGAGGACAAAGCGGTGGGTAGAGAGCTAGGCCCCTCTCTGTTCCTCATTCGATTCCAAGACGAAGAAATCCTAAAGGTTACTCTCGATAAAGCCCCGTTCCACTACAAGAGATGGATGTTCATTCTACAAAGGTGGGAACCAATAGTCTCTGACTACTTTCCCGCTTTCATTCCCTTTTGGATTGAGGTCCAAGGGATCCCCCTCCATCACTGGTCCGACCAAACCCTCTGTACCATTGGTGCCGAATTGGGTTTCGTTATTGACAGAGATGTGGACCTGGGAAAAATTCGTGTCCGGATAAACGCACTGGAGCCGCTGGAGATGAGCCTCCCCATCCAGTTACCTACGGGGGAAGTAACTACGGTCAACCTAGTCTACGACAAGCTTGAGAAGCACTGTTTCTCCTGCTTCTCCCTATCCCACGAAGAAAAAGATTGCCCGTTAAAGGAACAACCTCCGGTGGAGAGGATTCCAGAGATCGGCATCAACCAACGAAGAACTGTAACCCGTGCAGAGGAAGACAGAATTCGCCACTCGAGCAGAAGGGACTACAGAGCAGAACAGACAGAACGAAGGAGCAGAAACCTCGAATCTCGTCACAGGGAGACCAGAGAGCGGTACCGGAGACCTTATGATAGGCCTTCCCATAGATCTCCCTCCTCGCGGTCTCAACGACAGGAGATAAACCCAAAAAGAAGCTATAACAGAGAGCACCCGAGGGACCAACTCATTACGACCCGGGACTCGTCTCCAAAAAGCTCTCTTAGAGGTTTCTCACAAGGGCATAACCCAACCCAACAGGGCTCTCGCTATCAGTCACTCTCTGACCATATGTCTTCCCGGTACAGACAAACCTCTCCCCAAAACAACGACCTCCCTCAGGAATGTCGTACTCCTCCCCATATCCCGAGCAGAGGACGTCACTCTCCTATCTCCCGGAGACTGGATGCACCTCACAGTGAGCGCATGGGAACTAATGGGGATAACTATCATGAGAGAAGAGGTCCCTCTCCCACTGATAGACACCAACCCTTATCTCACCCTACGTCTCTAGTCTCAACCCCCATAGAACAAGTCTCAGCCCCTCCGAGCTTTGATCCTTCCTCACAGCCGGCTCAAGGAAAACGCTCAGCAAAGGAATGACTTTCTCTCCCTCGAGATTCTTCGCGTCGCAGAACTACTGGGGAAATCAGTTCGTCCTCTAACCGACTTCAAGACGTGGAGGTCCAATACTTTGGGACCAGCCCTCACCTACCCACCCCACCAAGTGGTTCTCATCCGGTGGGAGTTAGGGATGATATGGCGGGATCCTCCCTTCACCCGACGCTGGGACATAGACTGACACCAAATCCCTCGGACCCCAATCTGACTTCTCCTTCCTCACGAATCAGTGTGTCCAAGCGTATCGAAGTCCCGGTGGAACAAGTGACAATCACGCTACCGTCCTCTGCAAAACCCACTCAAGTCCTAGGGAAAAGGAAAGCAGGGAGACCGCGGATTGCAAGTAGCCCAATCCAGGGTGCGTCTTTAAAGAAGAGGAATCTGACACGGGCAAAAGCGACTTCCAAGAAGTGCCTGAACATGGACCCTATTCCCCCAGCCCGACCAAGTTCCTCCCTCAATCCCACGCCAACCCAAGGCGGCACCGTGGCTCCGAAGAAAAAGGCATCTCAGGGACGCAAACAGAAGAATAAGGTGGATTTTCACAATCCACCAAATTCTCTTCCTTAGTAACCTTAAGCTGGAACTGTCAAGGACTTGGAAACGACTTCACAGTTCATCGTTTCAAGGAAATGCGGTCTACCGTTGCTCCTAATATCCTGTTTCTCATGGAAACGAAAAATCAAGATCCCTCTGTTTTCCATGTATGCCAACCTTTAGGTTTCTCTAACCGGTTTACGGTTCCTCCACTAGGTTTAAGTGGAGGTCTGGCTCTTTTTTGGTCTGATAATGTGTCCTTAGAGGTTCTAGCCTCGAGCCCTCATTTCATTGACACAAAGATTAAATTTCAAGGCATTGTATCTTTTATCACCTTCACCTACGGAGCCCCTCAAGTTGAAAACATAGCTGAGATTTGGGACCTTATATCTTCGTTGGGATCATCCCGTGACGAACCTTGGCTTCTCACAGGTGATTTCAACGAGATACTAGACAGCTCAGAAAAGGTAGGAGGCCCCCTGAGGAGCGAAGGCTCCCTAATTCCTTTCCGTAGCTTTGTATCTCAAAATGGCCTCTGGGATTTGCCTTTCTCCGGAAACAACCTCTCGTGGAGAGGTCAGCGCCACACCCACTTTATTCTTTCACGTCTTGACAGATCCCTGGCCAACTGTTCATGGACGGAAACCTTTCCTTCTGGACACAGCTCTTATCTCCGGTATGAGGGTTCCGATCATCGGCCTCTAGTAACGGTATTTGATAGTACGAAGAGGAAAGGCTCAGGGATCTTCCGCTTTGATAGACGTCTGAGGGGAAAGCCAGAAGTCACACCGCTTATTTCAGAGGCCTGGGGCAATCCCTCCTCTCCAGCCCCTCCCATTTACGTGAAACTAAGTGATTGCAAGAGAACCATTATTCAATGGACAAGAGAGCAGAATGCTACAAAAACGGCCCGCAATAAAGCTAGCCAAGAAGCCTTAGAGGCTGCGCTTTCATCAGAACTCCCTGACCCCAACCTTATTGCTACTTTACAAGACTCTGTAGCCACTGATTATCGTGAGGAAGAAGAATTCTGGAGGCAAAGAAGTCGTATTCAATGGCTACAGCATGGCGACAGTAATACAAGCTTCTTTCATGCAGCAACGAGAGGACGCAGAGCTATTAACAATCTTTCAATGATTGAGGATGCTGAAGGCACTACTCACCATGAAGATCATCTCATTGGAAAAGTAGTTGCTGACTTCTATCAAAAACTGTTTACTTCCGATTATCGAGACCCAAAGGCAGCCGTTGACGAAGCTCTCCAAACTCGTGTTACACCGGCAATGAATGAAGCCCTCACAAAACTTCCTGATGAAAAAGAAATAAAAGAGGCCGTCTTCTCTGTTCACCCGGACAAGGCCCCAGGACCAGACGGGTTCTCAGCTGGGTTCTATCATTCCTATTGGGAAATCATAAGCTTTGACGTGTACCGAGAAATCCGCAGTTTCTTTGAAAGTGGGTTCCTCCATCCCCGATACAATGAGACACACGTCCGTCTCATCCCAAAGGACCTCGGTTCCAAGAAGGTCGCAGACTTCCGTCCCATCGCTCTCTGCAGCGCACATTACAAGATCATCGCAAAGATTCTGTGTAAAAGGCTCCAACCTTTCCTTTCTACGATCATATCGAAACACCAATCTGCTTTTGTCCCCAAGAGAGCAATTGCGGATAATGTTTTGATTACGCATGAAACCCTTCACTTCCTCCGTCTCTCTAAAGCTCAAAAGCATTGTACGATGGCTGTAAAAACAGACATGAGTAAAGCTTATGATCGCATCGAATAGAACTTCCTACAAGCGGTCCTCTCAAAACTTGGTTTTAATGAGACTTGGATCGGATGGATTAGAGCATGTGTCTCAACTGTCTCGTATTCTTTTCTCATTAACAACTCACCCTTAGGTTCCGTGATTCCCACTCGAGGGCTTCGCCAAGGAGATCCCTTATCTCCGTACCTCTTCATTCTCTGCACTGAGGTTCTGTCTGGCCTTTGCAGGAACGCACAAGAACGTGGTGCTCTCCCTGGTGTCCGCGTTTCTCGACAAAGTCTGGCCATCAATCATTTGCTATTTGCGGATGATACTATGTTCTTCACTAAGACCAACCCGACGAGTGTCTCGGCCTTACTCTCGGTGATCAGAACCTACGAAAATGCATCGGGCCAATGCATAAATCCAACGAAATCTTCCGTTACCTTCTCCTCCAAGACTCCCTCGGAAGTAAAAGCTCTTGTGAAGTCATCGTTAGGAATTGAGAAAGAGGGGGGAGTGGGTAAGTATCTTGGACTCCCGGAACATTTTGGTCGCTGTAAGAAGGATATTTTCACGGGTATTGTGGATAAAGTCCGGAAAAAGGCACATAGCTGGACAAGTGGCTTCCTCTCCGGTGCCGGCAAACAAGTCCTTTTGAAGTCGGTGCTCTCTACGATGCCATCTTACGCTATGTCTTGTTTTAAGTTACCCAAGTCTCTCTGTAAGAGACTGCAGACGGCCCTAACACGGTTCTGGTGGGACGACAAACCAGATAAACGGAAGATGAGTTGGGTCTCATGGGACAAACTCTCTGTCCCAAAAAATGGAGGCGGACTTGATTTCCGAGAAATCGAGATCTTCAACGATGCTCAGCTTGCAAAAATTGGATGGAGGCTTCTCAACCAACCGGACTCCCTGCTCGCTCAAGTGTTATTAGGCAAATACTGTCACTCGTCCCACTTTCTAGCTGCTTCTCCTCCCTCTAATGCCTCTCACGGATGGAGAGGTATTCTAGCAGGTAGAGAGATCTTAAGAAAGGGTTTAGGTTGGACTATAGGGGAGGGCAAGGATGTGAACCTCTGGACAGAACCTTGGCTCTCCATCTCCACCCCTACTCAACCTATAGGTCCACCTCCGGAACATCTCAGGTCGCTCGTTGTTGGTGACCTCATACATCAACACTCTAACTCTTGGAATGTCGACGCCATCCACATGGTTGTTCCACAGCATGAAGAAGAGATTCGGAAACTGGTCCTTGGCTCCAAGAGATCGAAAGATGCTTTACGCTGGCTTCACTGTAAATCTGGTGAGTACACCACCAAGACTGGTTATGCTATCTCGAAGCTTCACAATGAACCAGTCCATGCCGATGGTTTCAATTGGCAAACAAACCTTTGGCGGGTAAAAACCTCACCCAAGTTAAAGCACTTTCTCTGGAAAGCCTCTGCTAACGCACTCTCGGTGGGAGCTGCTCTCATAGGTCGAGGTTTCAACACGGATGGTCGTTGTGTCCGCTGTGGAGAGGTGGAAGATGTTCGTCATGTTTTACTCACCTGCCCATATGCACAGACAGTCTGGAACCTAGCCCCGGTCCTTTTTAAGCCAAACCCTGTGGATTGCCCTAACATGAAAGCCCTCCTTCTCCAAGCAAGGAAACTCGTGAACTTACCACCCACGGGACTTTCACTCACGCCTCTGTTTCCATGGTTGGTCTGGTTTCTCTGGAAAGCGAGGAATCTCCTCATCTTCGAGGAACGTATTGTCTCCGCTCAGGACACCTACCATAAAGCCATCTCAGAGGCAAAAGCGTGGCAACACTCTCGGACAGCCTCAAATGCCGCTTCGGATCAGAGTAACCTTCCTCCTTCTCTAACTCCTCGCTTTCTCCCTCCGCCGGATGTCCTCAGCTGCTACACAGATGCAGCCTGGCAGGCCTCTGATTTACGGTGTGGAGCGGGATGGATCATCAAGAACTCTGTTGGTGATATTGTCCTACAAGGTACGGAGGTCAGAGATTTTATCCCTTCAGCCCTCGCTGCTGAAGCTACTGCGGTTTTGCTTGCTCTTACTTATGCTAGAGCTGCTAACGTTTCTCAAGTGGCCTGCTTCTCAGATTGCCTAGAATTGATTTCTCTGCTCAACTCCGGTGGCCTCTCTTTGGGAATTTTGGGTCTTTTGATCGATATCAGGTCATTAGTGCCTTCTTTCTCCGCTATCTCGTTTCATTTCCTTCCTCGTTTGTTGAACTCTGAGGTTGATGCCCTGGCTAAGTCCAGCTTATTTCCTGTACTTGTTTCTCCCTCTGTTGAGGCTGAGGCCCCTTAATCTAATATATAAGTCTAGTTCGCACAAAAAAAAAAAGCAATGAAATACACACAAAAAACATATTTATCTTAGCAACCAATGGTGTGATCAATATAAAATTAATGTTATATATCAAACTCACTTATTATATTTTGTTCCTTCACAATATTGTGTTTTAACCTTCTTTGTTAGGACTTTAAATCTATTTATCTTGTTAGTTTTTAGTCTATCAGTAAGAAGATTTAAACAAAAATCAATGTTGACAGATGCGTTAAACTTTGACGTTGAGATCCATAAAATTTGATAGGAAAAATATCACCATCCACGAAATGTTACTATTTTAAGAAAAACCAAACTAAATCTTATAAAAGATTAATACTACTAGTTAATAAAAGAGTAACTTATCATATAAGCTTAATTCTATCCGCAAATACCAAAATTAGTAGAAAAGAAACTAGGCCAAAAAAAGAAGCTAAAACGATAGAAGAAAATGAAAAGCAAGCTTTCTTCACTCATCATCAAAGACGATTTTCTTCCCTGCAAGAACAAATACAGAAGTCGCCGTGGTTGTTGATTTGCTTGATGTTCCCCGTAAGTCGGAGATGGACACAGTAGCTTATATTATTGGAGAGGATGGATATTTCAAAAAAAGACCAGTTTGGAGGATCTTCAAACATTTGTTTTTTACCCACTCGTGTACCCTTTTGTTCCAAGTTTAGCGCAAATCAAACTAGGCTGCAAAAGGAAGAGGAAGAGGAAGAAACACCAGCTTGTCTAGCTAGTACCTCTAGTTTATTACTTTCTTTGTTCTCTTTTGTCATGTTCTTTTTGAGACGATGATTAATTTTTGTTTCATCTCCTGTTTGCATTTTGAAGCAGAAATAAGTTATTTGGGAGAAACATAATTTGTAACCGAAATAGTCTTTTTCTAATAAACGGGGTGCACGCTTCTTCCAGCAAAAGTACAAGATGTTGTTACAAACTTAGAGAGAAGTTCAAATTAAACAGTATTTTATTAAACAAATCAAAACAACTTCTTTTATAAAGAAACAAAGTGATCTGAAAACGAGATTCTTTTGGTTTGGTTTTAAAAGGAGAAAATTATTTGGATTCATCGTTTTTGTTTTGATAGGTTTCTTTTTGGCCCTCACATTTTTGTTTATATACAGAAAGAAAGTTATGAGGGTAGTTCTATTTTTTTTGTCATAAACTAAGACAAATTGGTTTTGATAACTCCCATTTATTCAAACGATACGTATGTTCAAATATGTTACCCTCCTTCTAGTGTTCATGTCATCATGTGGATACATATAGGTAAATTTCTTATTCTAGTGTTCATATGTGGATATAGAAGTAATTTTATGTGGATTTGAGTGCAGTAAATATTTGTGAACTCACAGTATAAAAGGGACAGTCGTATTTTACATCTATTGCTTAAAGAGATTTAAGAAACAGAGATATTTATGAAGATTGAATAACTTTTATTCATTGATTTCAGCTCCCCGGTTACAATATGAGAGTGATCCCTATTTATACACAAACTCCTAAGGATCCTCTTTTAACCTAAAGGACACATGTCCTGATCTTACACCATTAATCTTCATTCAATAAAGCATATCTGTTCTGCGTTGAGATCCCCTTTTCCGCATAGCTCGCGCTCACCGTTTTCCCTTTACAGTCATCTTTCTTATCTTCTCTGTTTTGTCTTCTTGTAACAGAAGTCGACCGTTGGAGCGCTGTTGGATCCACGTTGGGCTTGGTTTGATTCAGCTTGGGCTTCTCTCCTTGATGGACTGACTTCACATTCCCTGATGTCGCAGCACTGTCGTTTTGGTTTACTTCTGTCTGAGACAGAGGCTTAACAGCCCCTCTCAAACTTGGTGTCGGAGGGAAATCCTCACCCAGTTTGTACCGTAGTGAAGTAAACGCTGCTTCAGGTAATGACTTCGTGAATATATCCGCTATTTGGAGATGTGATGCAACGTGATGTACCTCCAATAAACCAAGCGCAACTCTTTCTCGAACATAGTGGTGATGTGTCGCAAAATGTTTTGATCTTGCGTGAAACGCCGGATTAGCAGTGAGATAAACCGACAAAAGGTTATCACAGTAAAGCTTTGGTGTCGTCATTGCCAGAACCCCTAGCTCTTTCAAGACTGCCTGAATCCAAGTGATCTCCGACGCAGCTTCAGACATTGCTCTGTATTCAGCTTCAGTTGTACTTTTAGAAACTGTATCTTGCTTCTTACACGACCATGAGATGAGATTGGATCCCAGATACGTGCAGTAGCCACCAGTAGATCTCCCTGTAATAGGACACCCTCCATAGTTGCTGTCACTATAAGCCCTCAATGTAAAATCAGTATGTTTACTGAAGTTGATTCCCATAGTGATGGTGCCTTTTACATATCTCAGTATTCGCTTCAACAGATTGTAGTCTGAGAGAGTAGGAGAATGCATCTTCTGACAAATAAAATTTACGGCAAACTGTATATCAGGTCTGGTCAATGTCAAGTATTGCAGTTTACCTGCCAGACTTCTGAAATATCTCGGATCTTCAAACAACACATTTTGTTTTGGAACTCGATGAGGCTGCAATGGCAAAGGTGTAGGCATTGGTGCACAATCACTCATTGCAGCTACAACTAAGAGATCTTCTGCATATATTTGTTGAGACAAGAACAGCCCCTCTGAATGAAAGTGTGCCTGAATTCCAAGAAAGTACTCCATTTGACCAAGATCTTTCATCCTAAATTGAGTTTTAAGCTCCGAGAAAAACTTCTCCATAACGATCGATGCATTCCCAGTTATCACCATATCATCTACGTAGAGCAAAAGAATGATAATATCTTTGTCATTAGTGTAGATAAACATCGATGGATCTCTCAAACTGCAAATAAAACCAAACTCCAAAAGATACAGGCTGAATTTATCATACCATGCCCTAGGAGCTTGTTTTAGACCATATAGTGCCTTGTGAAGTAAGCAGACATGATCAGGCTTCTCTTTGTCCACAAATCCAGCTGGCTGTCTCATGTACACTACTTCTGAGAGCTCACCATGAAGAAATGCATTCTTTACATCCATCTGTTTGATAGGCCATTCCATAACCGTTGCAAGATGCAAAACCTCTCTAACCGTGGCAGAGCGCACAACCGGGCTGTATGTTTCCAAATAATCTATACCTTCCTCCTGTTTATTACCTTGAGCTACAATTCGAGCCTTGAGTCTTTCTAAATCACCATCTGATTTAATCTTTGGTGTAAATATCCATTGACTTCCAAGAACATGCATATCCGGAGTATATGGAACTAACGACCATGATCTTGTTATGCCACAAGTGTCAATCTCTTCAGTCATTGCCCCATTCCAGCCAGGATGCTTTAATGCTTCAGCAACAGTCCTTGGTCGTGGATTGGAGACTTTGGGAGACAACAGAACATAGCGAGGATTTGGTTTCCTTATACCCGATTTACCTCTAGTCATCATCGGGTGATTCGATATGGCAGTTGACGCAGGTCTCTCTTCACTTATAGTCTGATCTTCTGAATTGCCTGTCCCACTCCCAGAAGATAACACGCTGTCGCCTATAGCAGCATGATCAGAGCATGGCGTACGCCCAGTACATGCATCTTCTGGTGTAGTAGGCAGATCCGGATGATCAGAGTTACTCTCATCTTCAGATATCGGAGATGTTACTGCTATCAGCGGAGAAACATTCTGTACCGCTATGGGACTTGGAACTGGAGGTGCTTGCACAGTAGGTACAAAACTCTGTTGCCATGCTTTGGTCAGAGCCGTAGTGGCTGGTGTATGAAACAAGCTATAAGTGTCCTTGAAAGGAAATGCCGCTTCATCAAATATAACATGGCGACTGAGATATACCCTGCCTGTAGGTAGATACAGACACCTATATCCCTTGTGCTTCGCTGAATAGCCAAGAAAGACACATTGCAGAGATTTAGGATCGAATTTATGATTGGCATAGTCTCTCAGAGTTGGAAAACAAGCACAACCAAACGTTCGCAGAGCAGAGTACACCGGAGCAACACCAAACAACTTCTGATAAGGTGACTCTTTACTTTGTAACGCTGTAGTTGGGAGGAGATTGGTCAAGTAATTGGACGTGAAGAAAGCTTCCACCCAATATTGAGTCGGCATTTTACTCTGAAACATCATAGACATTCCCAACTCCGTGAGGTATCGGTGTTTCCTTTCCACCAAACCATTTTGTTGTGAAGTGTGTGGACAAGACACCAAGTGTTGAATACCTCTGTCTTGTAGGTGTTGTATGAACGCTTTACTTATAAATTCTCCACCACCATCACTCTGGAACATACCAATTCTCGTATTGAACTGATTCTCCACAAGATTTTGAAATGAAACAAACACTTGATGAAAATCTGACTTGCATTTCAATGGATAAAACCAGCAGTATCTAGACCAATTGTCAATGAGGATTACATAGTATCTAAATCCTTGCACTGAAACAACTGGTGCAGGCCCCCAGAGATCACAATGAATTCTCTGTAGAGGTTTATTCGCTACAAAATCAGAAGAACTAAAAGGCAATCGTGCACTTTTCCTGAGACTGCACGACTCACAGACGAGATCAGTACGTTTATTGATACTAATTGCTTTAATAGAAGCTAGATGCTGAAGGACTTGATCTTGAGGATGACCCAGACGTCTATGCCACACTACATCAGACGCTGCCTGTTGTCTCGACGAAAAGAACACCTCTGGCTTCCTGTCTTTCAGCTTGTAGAGACCTTCTTAATTGTTTCTTCCCACCAACAGATGCTTCTTGGTGACCTTGTCCTTAACAATAACCTCTTCACAATCAAACTTAAAGGTAAACGGATAATCTCGAGTAACCTTGGAAACAGAGAGAAGTGATTTGGCAATATCAGGGCACACTAAGACATCTTTGAGAGGGAGAGTACCTGAAGCAGAACCAATTACTGCGGAGCCTGTGTGTGTGATTGGCAGGAAATTCCCATCAGCAATCATCACCGAGTCATTTCCAGTGTACGGCTGAGATTGCTGGAGATGTCGTGCCGAGCTGGTGACATGAGCACTGGCTCCCGTATCTGGATACCATTCATGACCTGTTTGGTCCGTGACATCAGTAATCTGCAGAGCAGCCATAGCTACATGCCCTTCTTCTTCTTGATAAGCATTATCAAACCTGTGCCAGCACGACAAAGCTCTGTGACCTTTCTTCCCACAAATCTGACACGGCAGTCTAGGCTCTGTATCGTTGGACGAGGTTTGACCGCGGAGAGAACCAATTTGCTGCGGAAAACCTCGACCTCTTGTGGAAAAGCCACGACCTTTGCCCCGGTTAGTATATGACTGCCCTCGTCCTCTGTTGGAGTAGTTTGCCTGCATCGTATGAAACGCCATATGTGGTGAGACATCTGAACCGGCAGTGTAGCTCAGATACCGAGCTTCAGCACTCATGAGTCGAGGCGTGATGCCAATGAACGTTGGAGCAGGGATCTTGTCCATGTAACCCTCAATACTCGCCTTTACTGATTCAAACTCTGGACTGAGGCCCCTCAACGCCGTGAAGATTTTGATTTGCTCAGGAACCGTGTGACCAACCGACTGAAGAAGAGCGCAGATGGAGGTAATCTCGTTGAGGAACTCAGCCATCGGTCGTCCTTTCTTCGCCACAACCTGCAGGCGACATTGCAGATCGTATAGCCGAGCAGAAGAGATCTTGTTGAAATGATCTGCCACCGTAAGCCACATATCGCGAGACGTTGGACATTGTATGACCAGAGCCAGAACCTCTTCGGAGAACGATCTTATGAGCCACGACTTCACAATGTGGTCTGTTTGCATCCATGTATGATAGTCGGGATTAGGAACGTCCGAGGACTGAACGTTGATCCCATGGACCTGAATAACCGCGTGAGGTTGAGGATTCGCACCAGTGACAAAGCCTAGAAGACCTTGCCCAGAAAGATAAACTTCGAACTGAAACTTCCAAAGCAGATATGTTGCTTCGGAGAGCTTGACTGTAACAACACTAGTCACACTCAAAGGTGGGGCGGAACTAGGAACAAGAGCGTGAGTCTCCATGGATTTACTCACTGAAGCTCTGATACCATAAAGAGATTTAAGAAACAGAGATATTTATGAAGACTGAATAACTTTTATTCATTGATTTCAGCTCCCCGGTTACAATATGAGAGTGATCCCTATTTATACACAAACTCCTAAGGATCCTCTTTTAACCTAAAGGACACATGTCCTGATCTTACACCATTAATCTTCATTCAATAAAGCATATCTGTTCTGCGTTGAGATCCCCTTTTCCGCATAGCTCGCGCTCACCGTTTTCCCTTTACAGTCATCTTTCTTATCTTCTCTGTTTTGTCTTCTTGTAACAGAAGTCGACCGTTGGAGCGCTGTTGGATCCACATTGGGCTTGGTTTGATTCAGCTTGGGCTTCTCTCCTTGATGGACTGACTTCACATTCCCTGATGTCGCAGCACTGTCGTTTTGGTTTACTTCTGTCTGAGACAGAGGCTTAACATTGCTTGCTCCACATGCACTTATCTTTGTAAGAGAATGTTGTTCTGGACTCTGGAGGCTAAAGAGTCTATGGTTTTCGACGTACCGTCACGTACGCCTTCATTTAAAAAACAGATTTATAAAATTTCAACTTAAAGAACCTGTTGTATACTTAGATTTCACAATAGTGAAACATAAAATATATTAATTTAATTAATTTTTTATCCATCTTAAAGCATCTCCTTATCCGTACAAGATAGATAGCTGTTTAGTATGAGTAGTATTTACACAAGGACTATACTGATAACTGAGCAGACAAAACTGTACGACAAATTAGGACCATGTATAGACAAGACATAATGCGTTTAATTTAGCTTGATTTATATAGTAAAGATTGACATGAAAATTCATCAATTTCTACTTACAAGTTCCAAGATTCACATCACAGTGGAATAGTGGATACTTCTCGTGAATATTCTATTCACATTGATTTTTACTTGATGAACCTCGTTCCATTAATTTGTCTCGAGTTGAGAAAATTCAAAACTGTAAAATAAAGCTTAGTTATATTGAAACTGTAAAATATCGTTTCATTATAATTAACCTAAGCAATTATAACGCGCGTTTTCACAATTCACATTTATGCGTGAGACATTTTGGCTGTAATTTGTTGACTGAAACATTGGGAGTGAGAAAGGACGGAAGGACAAACTCAATGGACTACAGTCACCACACTTTTGACTAAAGTTGACGGATGGAGAAGAGAAGAGAAACAGAAGACCCGTTGAAAGAGTTTGGTCGGAAAAAACTTTTCTCTCTCCTCTCTCTTGGGCGATTGAAAAGGCTATTAGGGTTTCGTTTCCCCCTTCGCAATCGGTGGTCGGCCTCACGCCGACTGACGAGAATTCTCCCCGATGGCTAAGAAAAAGAAGAAGAAGGGGCTCTCTCAGCCTCACCTCGCTGTCTCCTCCAAGCTCTCTCTAGCTGCTGCCTCAGCTAAAACAGCTAGGGTGAACAAGAAAACGTCAATTCCCTCCTCCGGCGCGTCTAGCTCCGGTAATGCGAAATTTCCGTCAGAAATTGAAGCTACTATTCAGGTTACACCTCCGGCTCAGTCTGTTGAAGTTGAATCAAACCTGCAAGCTTCGGAATCTACGGGACAGATCTCGCCTCCAGATCTACGGAAATCCAATACAAATATCTCAAGTCCTATCTCGGACTCGATCTCTGTGGAGAAACCGGAGACTCTCTCTCCTAGACCGTCGAACTCTGAGCCACTGAAGCAAGATCTCCCAGCCACAAGTCCGTGCAGGAAATCTGACTCAGGGTCCCCCAGGAAATGGTCGAATTTATTCTCTCAGCCTGCTCACCTTGAGGAAATAGGAACACCAACCCAGCATATCTCTGGTGCTCCGTTCGTTCTGATACCTGATGAAAATCTTGAATCTGCCAAGGAAGAATTCAAGGATTTTCTCTTCGCAAGATTCCACGGCGACTGCCCACCCATGGGAAGGATAATCAGAGTTTTGAACGCTATCTGGGCTCGATCAGGGCCGAGAATTTTTGTGCACAACATTGGACCAGGTACTTATCTCCTCCGTGTACCCAACCCAAGAACCAAGGAGCTCCTTCTAAGTAGAAATGCGTGGAATATTGCTGGTTTGCCAATGTTTGTTGCCCCTTGGTCACCGGAGTTCACTCCTGATGATCTATCTCTATCATCGACGGTGGTCCCAGTTGAACTCCGCAATGTTCCCTACCTGCTTTTCAACAATGAAAGCTTAAGCAGAATAGCCACAGCCGTTGGTAAACCTGTTTCTCTGGCCCCGGAAACAGAGAGAAAATAAAACTTTGAGGTTGCGAAATTGTATGTTAGAGTGGATCTCACCAAGACACTTCAGGATACGGTGATTACTGGATTTACCAATGGAAGAGAGGTGGAGGTTCAGGTCTTGTATCCTTGGTTACCATTGAAGTGTGGTCTCTGCGGCAAGTATGGTCACTCCTCGCCTTCTTGCAAACGTTCCCCTGTTAACCAGAGAAAGCGATCTGCTTCCCCTGTGAAGAAGCAGAAGGAACTCGGTCCGGAGAGGACAGGCAGGGAGTATAAGAAGAGATCCAGATCTAGAAGGAATAATTCTAAACACTCTGCAAAGGAGGATAGTCCTGCTATGGAAGAGAATGAGATCCTGGCAACCAGTAAAGATGGAGAAGTGTCAGAAAAGTTGATTGAGAAGGATCCCACTATGGAAGAGAAACCTTTGGAAACGGTGGATTCTATAGAGAAGAAGCCTGATGATGATAAGGCGCAGTCTCCGGTGAATCCAGAGGAGGATCGGTTATCGGAGGCAAAGAACCAGGATGTGGAACCACAAACTGGATCACACCATCTATCGCAGGTGGCAGAGTCTGAGGAATTGGAAGTTCCTTACTACCTAGTTACTTACAGGAGGAGTGGCCGCAAGGCCAAAAACAACTAATATCATTAGATATGTTTTTTGGGTGGAACATAAGAGGGCTAAATAGTGATCGCCGTCACACTATAACTAAGGATTGGATTAATATCCATAGGCCGCTTTTTGGAGCGTTTACAGAGACGCATATTCAACCTATTAATGCCGGAAGGATTATAAGAGCTATCCCGCTGGGTTAGAAATATTTTGGCAATTTTGCTCACCACGCCACGGCCAGAATAGTGGTGGTTTGGGACCCTAGTATATCAGTTTTTGTCTACAAGACTTCAGCTCAGACAGTTACTTGTGGTATCTATCTCCCCGCAGAGAAGGTTTCCCTCACGGTTACCTTTGTTTATGCGTTTAATCTTTTGGAGGAAAGGCGAGCTCTTTGGGATGAGTTGATAGAGTTGAATAACTCAACCCCAGTTGCATCTCACCCGTGGGCAGTGATTGGTGACTTCAATCAGATACTAAGAGTGAACCACCATTCAAACTCGGGAATTGAGGAAGTTGAGATTTCAGGCATTCAGGAGTTCACTGAGGCAATGCAAAATGCAGATTTGTTTGAGGCCCAACAGAAAGGTCCATCTTTTACCTGGTGGAATAATCTGGAGGATAACCCAGTAGCGAAGAAGATTGATCATGCGATCATCAATCAATCTTGGTCCGTTTCTTTTCCAGACGCTTACGCTGATTTCCTGGAACCTCAACAATCGGACCATGCCCCTTGTCTCTTCAGAGTTCCTTCTCTTGTAAGGAAGCAATGTAAACCTTTCAAGTTCTTCCACCATATTATAGATCTACCGAACTACCAGGAGACTATAAGGAATGCTTGGCATAGTGAAGAAATTGTTGGAACAAGTCAGTTTAGGCTTGTCAGATCTTTGAAACTTCTCAAACCGGTCCTGAGACAGTTGAACAAGAGGAACTTCAGTGGTATTTCTATCAGAGTTAAGGAGCAGGCGGAGAGGATTTCAGAGCTACAGAGAACACTTTTGACAAACCCTAGCCAGGCAATTGTCAGAGAGGAACATGAGGCCCGAGCCAAATGGAATTTGCTAGTTAAGGAGGAGGAGAAATTTTATCGGCAAAAGTCGAGAGTCCGGTGGTTAAACCTGGGAGATCGCAACACAAAGTTCTTCCATAGAACGGTGACCCAGAGAGCTTCTAGGAACCATATCCATGTTCTAAAAAACTCCATGGATCAGCTTTTGACGACCCCATAGGAGATTAAGGAGCACTCGGCTGAGTATTTTAAAGGAGTGATTGGTAGTTCAGACATGCCGGCCTCGCCTGCTACTCATGATCAGCTTCAGGACTTAATGCCTTTCAGGTTTAATGAGGCTCAGAAGGGGGAACTCACTAAAGCCGTCACTCCAGAGGAGATTAAAACAACTTTGTTTGCAATGCCTCTGAACAAGAGCCCGGGACCCGATGGATTCTCGGTGGAGTTTTTCAGAGCTTCTTGGGATGTGGTGGGACCCGATGTCATTGCTGCAGTTCAAGAGTTTTTCAGGAATGGGCGTCTTCTGAAAGATCTCAACAACACTGCCGTAGCTCTTATTCCTAAAGTCCCTGAAGCCTGCAGGCTGGGGGATTACAGACCTATAAGCTGTTGCAACTTGATCTACAAACTCATCTCTAAGATCATTGCAAACAGGATGAAGCCGGTTCTATTGAAGTACATCCGTCCTAATCAGGCAGCTTTTATCAGAGGTAGAAGTCTTGGTGAGAATGTGCTTCTCTCAACGGAACTGATAAGAAACTATGAGAAGTCTAGCTGTGCAAGAAGCTGTATGCTTAAGGTTGATATTCGAAAGGCTTTTGACACGGTGTGTTGGGACTTTGTACTGAAGATGTTGAATGCGCATGACTTTCCTCCGCTGTTCATCTCGTGGATAAGGCAGTGCATCTCTACTCCGCGTTTTTCCATCTCAGTTAATGGAGAACTCGCTGGATTCTTCCCAGGAAAGAAGGGTTTAAGGCAATGTGACTCCATCTCTCCCTATCTGTTTATAATGGTGATGGAAGCTCTCTCCGGTCTATTGGATGTAGCGGTTGAGCAAAGAAAAATCAGACTACATCCCCAATGCCATGATCCAAAGATCACTCATCTTCTGTTCGCGGATGATCTTTTGATCTTCAGTGACGGCTCAAGGCACTCTCTCACCGGGATCAAAGAAGTTATGGAAAGTTTCAGGGGGCTGTGTGGTCTCGAGATGAACCCAGCGAAGTCGGAAATTTTCTTTGGAGGATATTTTGATATCGAAGTGGCGGTTCTAAGTGGCTTAGTGGGGTTCAAAGTTGGTTCCTTTCCTACGAGGTACTTGGGTCTCCCTCTGAATCCAAGGAGGATCACGTTGGCTACTCTCCAGCCTTTTATTGAGAAGGTCACAAGTAAGCTTCAATCTTGGACTTCAAAAACCCTCTCCTTTGCTGGCAAAATAAGATTAGTCTCCTCAGGCATCTATGGAATGGTGAACTTCTGGAGTTATGTCTTTTCCTTACCAAAGATGTTTTATGCGAAAATTGACTCGCTGTGTGCTGCTTTTCTATGGAACAACAACACTAATTCAGCTAGAGGAGCTAGAGTGGCTTGGAAGGATATTTGTCGGCCTAAGATGGAAGGAGGATTAGGGATAAGACTTTTGGAGGATTTTGAGAAAGTCTTTCGCCTGAAGCAAATTTGGAACCTATATACTAATGCGGGTTCCTTATGGGTTGCTTGGGTGAATAAATACATCTTTGGTAGAAAGGGATTCTGGTTGACTGCGGATTCGCCCTGTTTCTCGAGAGCTATCCGTAGCATGCTCCAATTAAAGCCTATCTTGCCTGAGTTCTTGCGCTGTGACTTGAGAAATGGAGAGACATCCTCGTTCTGGTATGATTCTTGGACTGACTTAGGGTCCTTGATTGATTACATGGGATCCAATGGACCAAGGCAGTTGCGGATTCCCAAAGGTGCCAAGGTTTCAAGAGCGGTTAAAGATGGATCATGGTCCCTGCCTCATACTAGATCAGAGGAGGCTCAAAATCTCCTAATCCAGCTGACAACTTTATCTCCTCCGAAGAAAGAAGATGGTCCTGACTCTTTTCTTTGGGTTGACCCCTCTGGTCAGTTTGCAAATGATTTCTCATCAAAAGCAACTTGGGAAAAGATAAGAGATAGTGCTCCGCTGGTCCCCTGGCATGGCGTAATCTGGTTTAAGCAGGAAATTCCTCGCTGTTCCTTCATCTCTTGGCTCGTGATGAAGAAACGTCTCCCAACAAGAGATAGATTGAGGGCTTGGGGCCTTGGGATTCCTCCTGAATGTGTTCTCTGCTCCACCGGAATAGAATCTCATGACCACTTATTCTTTGAGTGTGACTTCTCCCTTACTTTATGGAACTCCTTCACGGGACAATTCCAGTTCTCTCAGCCTCTCACTAGTGATTCGGTTGCAATGTGTATTGGAAATGATCCTGATCTCTCTCGCTCAAGTAAGGGCGTGGTCATTAGACTTCTCTTTCAGGTGGTGATGTATCTGGTTTGGAAGGAAAGAAACCAGCGTATATTTACTCCTACTTCCTCTTCGCCGACTGCAGTCTGCGCTCAAGTCGACCGCCTAATTCGTGATCGTCTCCTATCCTTCCCAGCGACCGCTACGTCTTCTCCTTCCCTCTTGGAGGTGTACTTCTCATTGCTGTAATGGAGCCTTGTATTTTCTTTCCCTTTGCTATGTAATAAGTTGTTTAATAACAACATCAACAATGTACTTTCAGAAAATGGTATAAATCTTAACATTCGTACCAAAAGAAAGAGTTTGGTCGCCAAGAGGTGAGTGTTTCTACGAACTCTTTTCTTTCAGTTTCTAATATTTCTGTGATTTATAATGCTTAAAGTTGTCACCGAATTACATTCTCCTTTATCCTTTTCTTTTGGCTATATCACTCGTATATGGATATTTTATAAATAAATGATTATGAAATATATAAATCTCCGCATTTCTTCAAAAGTAGACTAGATGGTTTAATCTAGTGTAGTCATGACCTATAATGCTCCATTAATCTCAGTTAACATGAGCAATTATAATCTGGTTAAACAAAAACCTGTTTCTTATATGTCTTCATAAAAAAGGTTAGGCTAGTGGGAACCTGCTTTACTTACAAAAGTAATCAGAAAAAGTGTTAGGTGAATACTACAAAAGTCTCAAAGACAAATAGTGAAGGGGAATGAACATGGTGAGTAAAGACTCTTCTGTCTTCGAACACGTGTAAAGCGACGTGGAAGCTGTCCAAAACTAATGTGTCTTCACTCTTCACTCATCAATTCCCTGCAAGAAGAATACAACAAAAAAGAAGCAAAATTACTTATAAAACAAAGCACCAAAGAATCTTTAAGGGAGAGGAAGAAAAGAAACAAACCTGGTGTTCAACGTCCTCTCGGTCTATCCGCTTTTACAGTTAAGCTCCTCCCTCCAATTTGGCTTCCGTTAAGTTCCAATGCTTTGCTGATTCCATGCTTGAAACTTATGAAAGCAAACCTGAAAGATAGTCAAAGAGAACATAATTTCGGTGATTAAACATCATCATTAGAATAACCATTTATCAAGGCGGGAAAGAAGAGTTACAAACCCTCTGAAAGCACGAGTCACACGATCTGTCGGAAGAGTGATCCTTGTGATATCTCCACAACCACTAAAATGACCTCTCAAGGCATTCCTGAATCTAAGCCAGTTTGATTTGGCACTAAACACTAAACTCCTAACCACAAGAAAAATATTATGAATCTAAGCCAGTTTGATTTGGCACAGATTTTACACGCATCATATTTTCAAACGAAAAACGAGATATTTTTTTGAAGACAGTTGATAACATCAAGCTTTGTCATAGATCTCATCTCATGACTATCATTTTTCAAGACAAAATTATATTTAAGATATTTGGAAACCTCAGCTGCATCAAGGAATAATGTAAAAAAAAAAACACTTACTAAACATGAACCAAAGCATCATACAAAACTTATTTTTACCTTTATTCGCTATTGAGATAACAAGCTCCTTTAACAAATAAAACTGAGAATTATAACTCAAAGTCCAGTAAAAACTTGAAATTATTCACCCACACAGATAATGAACTTCTATCAAATGATGATCCACCTAAAACTCTCTTATTCCGAAGAAATCAGAGGTTAAAAAGAAATGTAAGCTCCTTACTCATATCGATTGTTGTCTATATAATGTTTTGAAGGTTTAAATGAATGCATTTACTAATTGTTCTTTTGCTGCATTGTCCCACTTTGTTTTACAGCTATGACAAATTTGCATGCATCCACTACCTTCGATTAGTTCCATAGACTAATCAACCATAAATCGATGTTCAATAGTTGGATGCACAAGTAGTGAGGAATCTTCTTCCCACGAGCATGCCTCTCTCTCAACCTAGGCAAATGGTAATAAATATTTTGGTTCTCGATTAACAATTCTTTTGTTGTGGTTATGAGTTTACTACGTTCGGCTAATCAACAACAAATCAATGTTCAAGAGTTGGATGCATTGAGTAGCTCATCTTCTATGAGTGGTATGAAAAAGAAATGTTTTGGTTTTCGATTGCGAGACATGATCCTCAGTGGACTACACTTGTTGGTTGGTTGAAAGTTGATGGATGGAGAAGAGAAGAACCGTTGAAAGAGTTAGGTGGTGTGTTTGTGACTTTCTTTCGGTTTTCAATCTTTCTGTGATTTAGAGTTTTCACCAAATTACATTTTCCTTTTTCTTTTTGTTTTGGCAATAACTACAACTTTGACGCTAATATTTATAAGAGAAACATTTATAAATATTTCAGCTTTTTAAAAGTAGACTATTTCTGTGGCTTTTTATATATGTGTATGTAGTGATTTGGATCCCTCTCTGTACAAATGATATGATAATCCCACCGTTTTCTAAAATTGCCCAGAGAACAATATACGAAGGAGAAAAAAGAAAACACAACGACCAAAAAAGAACAGAGCATATCAAAGTTAAACGGAAGAAAGATTTAAAAACCGCGAGGGAGGTTTGTTGTTGTTTCTGTCACTGGAGTCTCCTCAGCTCCATGGCTAAACCAAAAAAGAAACGAGAAGAAGATCCATTGTAAATCAAATAAAACACATTATGGACTTGCTTATAACAAAAAAAAATAAAGATTTGTGAATTTTACCTGAGATAGCTGAGAGCAGACATACGGTAGAGACAAGTGAAGACAAGTACATGCAATCCTATTGTGTAGAAGAAAGCAAAGGTCCTCGCATATCTGAAAGAAAGATATATATAGAAATATAAGCTGTGATGTAATTCTGAATATGATGAGTTAAAGAAAAGAGGCAAGCGGTTTTACTTGTTTCCTAGAAGGAAACGGCCACTGCTAAGCGTAATCCGATCTCTGATTCCTAAATCTTTGATCCGTTGCTCTCTTTCCTATCAAAACACATTCATAGTTGCACATGTTAAAGATAACAAGAAACTAAGGCTTGTGTTGTGGACTGAAATAGGAGAGTGTTTTGGTACCTTTTTCGAGAATGCTGCAAATGGGTTGATGTCATCCTCGTAGATTTTCTTGTACTTTGATTCAACATCTGAGCTGAATCCACTTTCTACATCTTCCACATACTGAGGTTGGAGATAATATTATCAATCACCCGTGGATAATAAAAAATCCGAGCATATGAGACAGAAAAGGGCTTTCCTAAGGGAAATTCAATGAAAAAAATATTTAGCACCTTTTTGGATCCTCGGGAAACGACTTTATCGTGGTTATAGTCCTGGACATAACGGATTTTGCCATAGAGTTTGACGTTATCGGCTTTGGTCTTCTCCAATTCGTCTGTGAGAAACCCTATCTTCTCTTTCAACCGCCTTATTTCCTGCAATAATATTTAAGAGAATCCAGAATATTCAATTCAAATGAATCTAACAATAGATACAGAAAACAGAGGGAATATGAACTTTTATGTACTAATGTACCTCTTCTGTTTCTCGCAACCTTGCTCGGAACCGATCTCTTTGGCTGCAGATAACTTTCAGCATTGAGCTTTGATCTTGATCTGTGGGAACATGTTTTTGATCCATAGGCTAAACAAAATGATAAAAGAGAAGCAGTTAGTGATGGATATATGTTTTTAATTGGTTATCTAGATCTTAATTCCTGAACCATTTGATCCTTCCTCTTTTCGTGTGGGGAACTTTCGTGTTGCATGAGAAACTACACGACTCATATACATAGGTCAGATGTAAGTACCTCAGACTGCTCAGTCGAACCTGTTTCTGAGAACTCCCACTCATCAAACAGAGTCCCTTTTCGCTCTTTGGAACTGTATCCCTGTGAAGCACGTAAAGAAGATTTAAGCATAATCAAAAGTTGTTGATCTGGTTTCTCTCCTCTTCAGTAGCACTTTCATAGAAAGTTTGTGTCTACCGAATGAGAAAATCTACTTTAGTTTTCAGCAAGTAACATAAAACACAAACACAATCAGAGGAGATACATTTATATGGTAACAGACACTTTTACGTACCTTCAATATGTCATCCTCTAACTTTTGTATCAGTCTTTGTTGTTCGTTAACCTTAGCCGTCAGTTCTTCTCCCTTGGCTTCAGCCTTCTCCAGCAGGGAGGTTTTCTCAGAAAGTTGAACCTAGGAGAAGAAGTGGTATTAATCGACCAATGACATTGACTAGTGTATGTTCATGTCATCGAAAAGGGAAAGAGCAACGAAGAGAGCTACAGAGGGTGTCGGTTCACTACGTAGAGGGTTATGTACCTTTAATTGAGTGACCTCATGTTCCATTTTTCTGTTTTTATCAAGAAGGAGCGACTCCATTCTGCTCATCTCTTCACCGGCGGTAGCAGCATCCCAGTCCTCAGCCTCAATTGAGTTGTAACCTACAGCCTAATACGCAATAATACCATTACACTATACACGCTAAAATAACTACAAGGAAGAACAGAGGATGGATCTGTGGCAAGAAGTTAATTAAAATTGAAGATAAGGAAAACACCAGAAATGACAAATACCTGCAGAATTTTCACTTTTTTGCGCAGATCATCAACCAATTTTGCCGATGGTCTTTCCAGAAGCTCTTTCTTCATCTCTTCAATGATAGTATCCTAGGTACGTAGAAATAAAATGAACGGCAAGCTAACATCAGACATGGAAAGCGAGAGACACTGATTTCTAAAAAGAAGTATATATTCTGAGCATAAAAGTCAGAACATAGCACAAACTTCACCTTCTTACTGAGCACCGAATTCAATTTCTTTATCTCGGCAACATGACGTTCTCGCTCATCTGCTAAAGCTATCTCAACATTGTGAATCTCCATATTAAGCTCGGAAATAATCTTCTCTTTTGCACTTATAGATTTCTCCAGCATACTATTTGAATCGACATTATCACTGCAGTCAAAGAAAACAAAAGATCAAAAATCGAAACAAAGCAAAAAACTTAGATAAGACCTCTTTGGAATCATGTGCCTTATTAAATGGACACATAAGTGTCAACTACCTCACCTATTCTTGTTCTCAGTATCTTCATTAGCTGTGTCCAGCTGAGACCGCAGATGCCCCTGTTACAAACCAATAGCAAGATTAGGGCGTCGAATAAGGGGCATTCATGCCATCCAAAGAGCATCCTGTGACAGACCTTTTCCCTCTCAAGTGTAAGCAGTCGCGTTTGAGCACGCTCCACTTCATCCATTAATAGACTAACTTCAGATTGCTTTGCCGCTGTTTCTTCATCTGATGTTTTACAAAAAAGTAATGTGTATTAACAACACAAGACGGAAAAGGAAATAATAAAAAGATTGAAATGAAAACCGACAAACTTATAGAAGACAAATTATGTAAAGGAGACTATCCCAATTCTGAAAGCACAAAATGAGTCATCATATCAAGGGTCAATGCACAACCTGATTGAGCACGGATTTCAAAAAGTTGGCTCTGTGCTAGCTCATGCAGTTTTTGCATGGTGGAGACGCTGTCTTTTGCTTGCCTTAACTGATCTTGCAAAGCTTGTTCCCTGTATAAAAGGTGAACATGGAAACGTCGGCGCTGGCTAAAAAACTCCTAACACCCGAAGCAATTAGGAAAGAAAAAATTTTTTACCTGTCCTTTAAAAGCTCCAACGTTTTCTGATTTTCCTCAGCCAAATTTCGTTGCTTGATCTCAACAACCTCTTTGATTTTTTCTTCCATCTGAATACAAGTACAACAACACGATATCACTGTTAATCCTAGCCAGTTATCAGTTACAAGATCACAATATAGCATCTCTTTAAGTCTCAGTCTATAAGTTTGCATTTCTGGAAGAGGCTCAAGAATCGAAGTTTGGTCCCTGTAGCAATTAGAACACGAGGCAAAAAGCAAGCTGACCTGCTGCTCAAGCTGGCGGTTCCGTTCTTCTAGTCTCCTTATTGTGGCCTGTTGATTTTTCAGATGAGTCGCTTCTGTCCTAAATTCCTCAAGTTCAACTTTCATTTTCCGATTCTCAGATTCCACTTCAGATAACTTACGATCTTGCTCCTGGAACACGGCAATTAGTAAGCTAGCTAGAGGACTTAAAGGTTTATTATGTTTATGTTAACATCAGGTAAGTGGAGAATTACAGCAATAGAAGCAAGGGCGGGAAAGGGATCTGGTGCTTCATAAAGCTTCTGATAGATGTTTAGGAAAGCATTCTCCCCAAACTTGGCCCTCTTGGTAATATTATCTACTTCTTCTTGATATCCCTTGAGCAAGGAATTAAACATGCTAAGTTTGTCCTCAGGCGATGCTTTTTTGAAGTCTATTACCAAAGATAAACCATATAACATGTTAACATCTCCCATTATCTTCATCTAACAGACTGGCGTTATATAAGGTGCAACAGAAAAAAGTACCCCGTGTGCTCTCTGCAAGTTTTCGCCGATTCTTCTGGCTGTTTTCTTGATTCTCAGCTATTCTAAGCCCTTGCTCGTCAAGCAGACTTTTCTCCTTCTCCAAATCAAATTCTGAAACATATATGTTTTATAAAAAAAAAACTGGTGAATCATTTGGGAAAAGCCTTATCACATTAAGCTACCAATTCGATGACACTAGCTGTGAGTACATTTTCAAAACTGAAAAAGAGTTGATAAATTTTAAAGCAATCAACTGAAACTTCGCAATCCGATCGCATTAAGCTACCATTTCCTTCTCCGGAACATCCCAATTACAATCTCATCACGTTTCTAATTCGATTCAGCATAGCTACTTCAACGGGATCCAAAATTAAACCTAAACCACGAAATTCTCATACTACAAAGTACAAACAACCTCTCACTCAGCTTCACCGCGAGTCGAAACAAACGAATTGAATAGTTCGACATGAATCTGAAAACAAACCTTTCCAAAAATTGGTGACGACAGGAATGGGAGAGGAGGAAGAAGAAGAAGAGGAAGGAGGAGGAGTTTTATCTCTCTCCGATCCATCTTGCAAGGCATCCATTACTTCTCCTCGTATTCAGATTCCGATCTCGCTCTCCGACGAACACACGCAAGACTTAAATGCGAAGAAAGTTTCTGGGTAGTGATTTCTTCTTCGTCTATCAACTACTGAATTAGAAGAATTTCACGAATTATCGTTCTTTTTCTTTTCCTGGAAAATTTTCTACTCCGATCGGATCTGCTGATACATTAGAGTTTTGGTGGTAAAATTGTAATTTGTGACTTAAACGTTCCTGCATTTGTATGTGTGATTGTGTGTGTATTATTTAGCTTCGTCCTAAACAGGCTTAACGATATTAAGCAGAAGCTTCATGAAGATTAATGGGCCAATTATTGGGCTATTCAGACGCCCAACTTAGTATAAAGCTTACACAACTTCTTCCATATACGAACCATCCTTCCTAACTTCTTATCTTGAAAATGAATTACAATGTTTCAAAATATTAATTTAGAAAATAATTTAATAGAAATTTCATGAACAGTAATAAAAAATTATTTATCCAATTATCTATCATAGTTAAATGTTCTTTTATTCATAATTCATGAAACTTTTCTTAGACACAACAGTATTTGATATTGCATATACATTTTTCTATTTCTATAATATTGTTATTTGTATTGATTAATTAATTATATTGATTTAATCTATATAAAATGCGCTTTAATAAATTTCCAAATTGTTGGTTTTTGATTCCATTGTCCTGAAAACTTGTAAAAGAGTAAAGATCCGTGTACACAAAACCATTATATATTATAAAGCAAACTTATCCCTAATATATTAAAAGAGAAAACACTATCAAATTAACCTTTGTCCCATGTATTATTAACAAGAATGCCATTGCTTAGGTGTCATCACCAGGTTCACTCTCAACCCATTTATAAAATAAGACAAATTTTACTAGAGAAATTACAAAGTGTGCCATTACATACTATATCTTTATTTACATATAGTTAATCACTCATTTTACTAACATTACGTTAACCGATTTATGAGCATATTCGATCGGTATGGCTCACAAAAAAAATTATATGAGATAAAGGGTTATACTGAAAGAGAAAGAAACCGAAATATACTCATAGTTTTAGCGTGACAATTCTATACCATTTTATTTGCTCTTTCCATTGATTTTTAATAATATATATACACAATTTAAATTTAGGAGCACATTTTGTTTAGGCCAACTCTACCAAACATATTATCCAATGCAATGTGTGTCGTGAATAAACCAGGGAGAAGGCCATTAAACCAACAAGTAATCAATGTAAACCGGATTACAATTTTGGTTAGATGGAAGCTTTGTTTAAAACCATATTTTTCCTCATTGAAATATATTCGAAAGTCTTAAACGGAACCTAAAGTCAACCTATTAAATGAGACGTATATATCGGAGTCAATATTGCGTTTTTATGCGTGTCATATGCAATTTTCCTTACGGAAATTCATGTATGGAAACCCGATAACTAACTTCCTATGTTACGGTTCCTCATTAAAACTATTGATCATCAAGTTATTTTGAATTTTAAATTTATGGTAAATTAATATTCCAAGGTTTCCAAATACATAATGTGCTTTAAATATGATATTAAGTTTGATTGATAATCGGTCTAATTGGGGATTCATATTTCAATCACTTTAAAATCGTGATCTCAAATATGATATTGTGCACTTAGTGTTGTGTTATACGCTCCAATACCCTAGAACATCCTCCCTTTGCTATATAAAGTCTTGACATACCAATCACCACGACACCACCATCACCTCAAAACCAACTCTTAAGCTCGATACACAAAAGCTTACGTTGTTAAGTATGTCTTCCTTAAGCTCCATCTCAATACCTGAAACCTTTCGAATCCATGTGGAAGATCAAGTTAAGATCATACGACTATATAAATAATACTCTCCTGCTGGTGGTTTGACCATTGAGATGGTGCTGATTGATTCCAACGTAAGTTATCAATCAACAATGTTGCATTTTGTATCAATAAAGCTTTCTCCTTAAAGAAATCTCCTTATAGATTCGAAATGCAGAGTAAATCTATTGAACATGCGACCCTTTTATTTCAGTAAAAACTCATGCATGTACTGTCTTCATTGATCTACACTAATATATACACTAATGTTGATGATCTATGTGTTGTTGTGTATCAGTGATGATCGTCTCCCTTTAGTGTTATGGGGTGGATTTGCAACGGAGCTAAACAACGCCGTTCAGGTTCATGGTGCATAGGTTTGGGAAGATAAAAGTGTGGAAAGGTATAATTTCCACAATTTATTTATATTAGTTTTAATGTATTCATAATGATAAATTTTATACAAACACATATTAAATTCCAAATATGCAGAGTAGCGTGTCCAATGCGTACAATGTTTCGAGCGTTGCCATCATGACAGTTTCGTGTCAGTGAAACCAATTTTGTTTCCGATCATTTTTACCCACTGAAAAACCCATGTAATATGGTTAATTGATTTTTCTCTTCCAAGACAATAACTAAGAATGTGTATGTAAAAGCCAATGAAAAACATAAGGGTTATGGAGGAAGTAAGTTCTTATCAACAATATATTTATACAAAGAATATCACCCCGTGCTAGGCACGGGTCAATCCCTAGTGTAAATTTAAGTAGCAAACGGTAATCACAAAGTTTCAAAAGTATTTAGATTTAAGTTTGACAGCATCTGAAAACATAAAACATTTTATCGTTACATTGGCATGAGAGAGCAGCTAAGTTGAGACAACAACGGAGAAAGATAAGTTATGATGGTTACTCGTCATCAACGGCACCAAGCAAATCAACTTGTTGAAGAAACCTGTTAGAAGATTTAATATTATGTTGTTAGTTTTTATATGAGATGTCTGATGAAGTCACATTAAATCATAAAAGAGTGGTAGATTATAATACATGGTTCTAAAATGTGATGATTCTGGAAATTGTGGGTCCATTATGAAGTCAGAGCATCCATCTACTGAGTGGAGAGTATAAATCTTACGATTCCATCTTCCTATATAAGCAATGAACAAACAAAACTATGAGAAAGAAACATGTACTACTAAAAAAAATAAAAACTCAGGGTGACATTGTTATGTAACTGACGATTTAATGTTTGAAATGGTGGATTGTTTTCAGAGATACATACCTACAGCACATTCAATCTCCCAAAACCGTAGAACACATAAATGATCAGGTCCAGTAGTGTTCATCCAAGAGTTGTATAAGTCTCTAGCAATAGGTCCACGAGCATGACATACAATGATATTATTCCTAATTATATAATTGTTTGAACGGTTATGATCGTTTATAGTTGCATTCAAAACAAAATTGAATTAATTATCATTTATATAAGAGAGTTGCAATAGTACATATAGTAAAACAATTAGTTGACCAGACAGATACTTACTCTTCATCCATTAGACTGAATGAGAGAGAATGTGTGTTGTTCTGATTTGGTCCTTGATGTGGAGCAAGTAGAGTTCCAAAACCAGACACATATCCGATAGTCTCTTCAAAAATATAGACAAATGTACAATTACTAATAACATTTAACAAATGTATATACGATATATATATGTATATATATACGAATGTTCTAGACATAATTACCTGTCAATATAGTGGTTTGGCGTTGGTGCGACATAATCAGGTGGATTGGGGTGAGAGTAACTAATGGACTGTCAGTTTTAGGAGGAATCGAGCGGACTTGAGTGGTCCTCTTCAGTTCAATTCGACATTTGTGTTGACTGGGCCTTCGAATTAATGATGCTGGTCGAACAAAGAATCCCAAGAGAAATTTCCAATCACCCACGGAGAACACACCATCGAACGTTTCAACATCTCCGGGCAAAATAGTAACACCGATTTTAAAACCCTAGCAATCCAAAAAATTAATTTTTTGAGTATAGGCAAATCCACAATTATGAGACAGTTAATAGTATGATCTTTATCGGAATTAAAATTATGTATGTAAAATCATAACTACATAACTGAAGATTCGTAGTATGAGATCTCATATTCAGATATCTTACATGTTCATCGCTGCATATCATCTCTACGCTCTCTAGGCCATTGTTCTGCATCTCGCGCCATAGCCGTAGCACCTTAAGGTGCAAGCACCAACACTGTCCGACTGGTTTTAAATCGTTTAGATGATCTGGATTGACACGGTTTTCTCTTAGGTAGGCCATGGAAAAATATTTCTGAACAGACGAAGAAATAGAGAAAGACAAAAAGATGTAGAATGAAATGTTTTGAGGGATGAACAGTTTATGAATGAAGTGAATAGTTGATTTTTAAGAAAAACTATAAAACAGGGTAAAAAAAATAACGATATTATTAGAAAAATTACATCATATCGTAGTAAATAAAGGTGAAAAAATGTAGATAAAGAATAGATGGCAAGGACAAAATTTAATTATGTGGGGCTTATGGCTTCATTGTAAAAATCAAAAGATACGTACAAATAATTTCCAAAGTTGTTTCCTCTTTTTTTTAATGATAATATGTAATCAGTACGTTATTAATATGACTTTCATGCTATTGCATATGAGGATTATGTTTCGACAGTAAAAACTGTTGTATTGAATGAAATATTGATATTCAATAACAGTTGAAAAAGGAGAATTAGCAGAAACTAATGCATCTTCTCCCCATCAGAGATGTTGTTGTTATTGCAACGATTTATACATTAAAATATGTCAGATTATTATTTCAAGATAAATAATATTATATCATAAAGAAAAAATGTAAAATATAAACCTCGAAAGTATTGAATGATGCTGATTTGGGTGCTTATAATGAACTGTATCACATTATATGATTCGTGTTTAGACGGTAGTTGTTATGAGCAGTAACGACTACAAATTCTTCGATTTCAATCCACAATCCTTCCTTGAGATAATTATCGAGACGGCTGATAAATTGTTTACTAACTGCTTGCCATGTCAATATAAAACGCGTTTCAATAAATTTCCAAATCTTCCAAGATATATATCTGTTCTAAATTTAGAACAGAATCTAACTTTTGTTTTTGTGTAATAAAATGTATTTGTTATATACACAACTCATGACAGTAGGTTATAAAGTACTAAAGGAGGTAAAAATCATATTTTTAAAAATTCCTCGTTTTAACTAAAGGTGCAAGAACCTTTTCCATATGTTCAAAGATTCTTCTCACAATTTTTCTGATTTTTTTCCAAAAGTGAAATGTACTAAAAAAAATACATTATGTTGTGTCTCCATTCAACCACTTATATATATCCAACATCCATTCCTGAAACCTTTTACACCATACCAAAAAGTGTATCTTTAAAACATATTTGATTTTCAATCTGTTCCTTGCTGATAAAGACGTCGACCATCCGATACTTTATAATGAATCACGACAACCAATGGACTTCTGGTCTTTGCAGCTGCATGGAAGATGGCAACTCTGGTTAGATTTTTTTTGATAAAATTAATCGAGTTGTCAGTAAATATTGGTACATAGTTATACTGTCATCATTTTATTATGATTTAATTTTTCTTTCGTTTGATTTGTGTTGGGTAAGTTTGCCTTACAAGTCTCCTTCCGTGCGTCACTTTTGGACGGATCGCGGATATCGCCGATGAAGGAAAGTCCGGTAAGTACTGATGAATACATGTATATATCCTTTTATTATATATAGTCATGTACTCATATGTACATATACTAGTAGAGTACCCGCACGTTTGTGCGGTGTGACGTTGTTGTTTTGTGTAGAAAATTTAAACCCTAAATCCGAACCCGACAAAAAACCCTAATCAAAAAATTTAAAAACCCAAACTTTTTTAATAGGTCTAAACATGAAAATCCGAAATCAAAAAAATCCCGAAAACCCTGACTGAACAAAAAAAATCTGGAAACTTTTTCACCCGGAACCCGACCCCAATACCTAATCAAAATTTTAAAATACTCAATTTTTTTAATATATCTAAACCCGAAAACCAGAAATCTAAAAAATCCGGAAAACCCTAAACTGAAAAAAAAAATTGAACCTAACCCGAACAGAAATTTTCAAAGAAACCCGAACAATTTCTATATCTCTATATATATCTCTATAAAATTATGTCTCAGATTTTCACCCAAACCCGAACTTGTCTATAAAAACCCGAAAATCCAAAAAGCATATTCTATTGATTTGGAATTATCGTTAGATTATGTTAAGTTTTCTTTTTTGCAGATTTTTAAGAGATGGAAAACGGAAGTTTTCTAAACCATCGGTTTATTTTAAGTTATTATTCTTGTATCCAAACAATTTTTTCCATTTATTCTTCTATCCAAATAGATTTTTCTCTTATTCTTATATCCAAACAACTTTTGTTTCCATTTATTCTTCTATCCAAATAGATGTTTCTCTAATTCTTGTATCCAAACATTAGAATGTACTTCTCAATTAATAATATAAAGATTTTTATTTATATATACATGTGTGTGTGGATATGTATATTTAGGTTGTGTGAGGTGTGGGATATTTTACGGACTGATATGTTTCGTGGTCGGCTTACCATGTTTGTATTCATGCACTTACCGAACTAAAATCCGAAGCAAATTCGGGTTACCGGAGTCTCCATATTCGGATTGCCTCACCCACTGCTTTTGTGAATGGTGTGCTCTTTGCCAAGAATACCGTGAACTAAAAAATCGTGGTCTTGACCCATCTATTGGTAAGTTGAAGAATTGATTATTTGCAATTTTTTTTTTAACTGTATTTTTGTTGATCAACTTGAGTTAGGGAGATCCAGATTCCATCAGTTTTAGGGGAAAAAAAATCATAACGGAGTAATTAAAGCCATACAATAACAACATACTTGTTCATTTATTTATGTTTCTGGAAGAAAAAGAAATCGTATATCCTCTCTCTGGTGAGAAATAGAGTTTGATTATGTGGTTAAATTAAATTTAATATGAACTTTTATTATTATCTTGGTGTAATAGGATGGAGTGGGAATGTGCAACGGATGATGGCTCCTCCTATGGATCAGCACATGACTAGTGATATTAATATGGGCTCAAAACCTGCAGACTCAAAACCCGCAGATTCAAAACTTTCAAGCTCAAAACCTGCAAATTAAAATACCTTCAAGCCTAAACGAGTTTTTTTGTTAAAAAAATGTTATATGAATTGTATGTGGTTGCAAAATGACTTTTAAAACAACACTTTTTATAAGTGTAGTTATTTTATAAAGCACATTTAATTTAAAATTGTTTCACTTTCATTAATTTAATAATGAATCAAAAGATTTTATTTTATGATTGATAACCCACATATAAAGGGCTTGTAAAGAGGGATATCAAATTCTTAAACTTGAAGTCTAGCTTGGTAGAATACAAGTTTGAAAATCTTAGCCTAAAGGCTGTGTGCGTCAACTGTTTGGACAAGTACCCACATACTTGCATAAATCATGTTTACCATACAATATCATCGTATCAACAGCTTTCTAAAGTACAAGTTGTGGTTTCATTTTTGTTTTCCACATGTAGGATAGAAACTAAGAAATTACCACCAGTTTCATGCATCACCATCCAGTAAGCAATTTCAAGATCAGTAGTGTTCCAAAACCATTAGTTAACCATTGTGGTTTGAAAAAATGGTGACAGCCGAACTAGTTGGGGAATGAAGTCTGAAAATAGCTTTACAAAAGACTTTTATTATATACAAGATGGAAAAGGAGCCCACTGTTCGAAGAAAGTTAAAATTCTAAACTGGTTCAAGTTGTGAGAAACCTTACTTGATAAAAACATCACCTTCATCTATAATTCTTTCACAAAACAATAAGAAGAGATTATTTATCAAAGAAAAAAAAAAACTCTTTGTTGGCAAAAAAAAAAAAAAAACATAGCCGGGTCTACGGGTCGACCAAATCTTGACCAGACGAATCAGGTACAACCTCCAGTTCGGTCAACGGCTTACCGAAACAACCAGGTACATGCCCATAACGGTGCAATTGGTAACAACGAAACATACCGACGTGGCATGCCGATCAATAACCAAACGCAAAAATGCTTTTCTTTTCTTTTGGCTCTGCTAAAGTTTTGTCAAAACTAAAACCGACTTAATTTCTTCAATTGGGTTAATACTCCCGGTTTAGTTAGATTGAAATATGGTTTGTTTTTCTCGGGTTTGATGATGAAAAAAGCTAGGAGCTAGTGGCAGTGTGGCACTGTGAGTGGAAATAGTCACAAATCAGTGAGACATCTTCCATTCTCTCTCTCTCTCTCTCTCTCTCTCGCAAGAGCGTTAATCAGTTTCCATAAACCCTAATACGTACGCACATCGCCCGTAAATCTCTCACCAGAGAGTGCGATTCAATCAATTTTACAGGGTCTTATATTCTCGTGCTCTGATCGGTACTAATGGAAGAGCAAATGGAGAAGAAATTCACTTGGGTTTTCAAAAAGTACTCTTCTTGGCAAGATGAGAAATGCTACTCTCGCGCATTCGCTGTCGCCGGCTGCAATTGGTAAAGAGAGAACCGATTTACCAACACTTTCGTCCAAATTTGTGTGTAATGTGTGTGTGTGGGATTTTGATCTTAGATGGAATTTGTTTTGTTACAGGCACATTCTTGCTCGTCGGGAGGGAGATAAGAACGATGGCCACTTGTTCCTGTACCTGGAACTTGTGGATCCTAAATCTTTGCCACAAGGATGGAAACGAGACGTGAAATTTAGCCTCACTCTGGTGACTAAGGCTTGGGGCAAATCCTGCATATCATTGGGTAACTATTTTCAAATCCAGTAATTATGCTTTCATATATGAGCCTTATGGCCTGTCTTTTATCCATGTAGTGGAATCTCTGTATCTGTTGAGTACATTTTTTATGCAAAGTTTGAATCTTTTTTGTGCACTCCTTGAAATCCTTTGGTTTTCGACTTTTTGTGTTGTGTGTGTGTGTGTGTGGCAGAAACGCAATGTTGTTTCGATGCAAAAAATGCGGGTTGGGGTTTTAAAAATGCCGTGTCCCTTACCAAACTTCAAGCAAAGGGTGAAGGATTTCTGGTGAATGACAAATTCATTGTCGTCGCTCAAGTACACGTTCTTCCAGCGGAAACGGTGAAGATTATTGAACCTGATGGTGCCTCTGTTCAAGCTGAGAATGCATCTAAAGAGAAGTTAGATGAACATGAAGACGATGATGATGATACATCATCTAAAGAGGCTTCGGATGATGGCCATGAAACTTCTGACGAGGGTGCAGTTGATGATGGTGCTGACACTAGTCTATCGAACCAATCAAATGCCTTGGTTCAAGACAATGTGGCAGCTGAGACTGAGGTTTCCAACGCGGATAATGAGGATGCGCCTAAAGAAGATGTTGATGATGATGAGGCTTCATCATCTTTGCTCACGGAGATTCAACCAGCGAAGGAAACGATTCATGTCAATGGGTTTGAAGTTTACTCTTCTCAGGTATTAACGAGATTCATCTGCGACTGCTTTTGTTATTATGTGATCGTATGTTCTATGTCATATGTCCCAATCTCTTTACTTTTCAGGTTTTACTCTCACAACTCTGTTTCCAATATAGTCTTTATGTTGTTTTTGGCTGGCAGGTAGAGTCGGTGAGGCATATCTTTAAAAGACACCCGGACATAGCATTAGGCTTCCGTCCAAAGAACCAACAGATCAGAAGAGCTTACATGAATGAACTCCTTAGCCTCATTGAGACGCTGTGCCAGTCACCAGAGAAGCTCTCTGAGGATGATCTGAGAAATGCTGAAGACACACTGACTGATCTGATTGATGTCGGCTTTAACCTGGATTGGCTGAAGACAAGGTTGAATGAGGTCTCTGAAAAGAAGAAGAAGGAACAGGGTAGTGTGGCTCGGATACAAACAATGGAGGAACAGTTGCAGAAGCTGAAGCTGATGTTCTTGGATCTTGAAACTCAGCTCCAGAAGGAAAAGGCTGTGGCTTTGGCCGCAAGAGCTCCTCTCTCTTTTGACGATGTTGTTTGCTGATTTGAGAGGATTCTTGCCAATCCCATTTCTTTTGATGTCTCGGGAACAAGTCTCATCTAACAAGGTTTCGTAGTCAGTGAGTTTTGTTTGTCGAGTGGGGCAGAGTAGTGACATTAATCTGCAAGAAACATTTGAGGATTTAAGTTTGGGAGTTTTGTTGGGTGCAAGAACGCTGTAATATTCACTGCATGTAACCACTCTGAAAATGTCACTTCATTTGCTCTACCTTCCTGAGATTTAAGTCTTGCTTTATGCTGATGCAAAACCACTTGGAAAGATTCATAGACAAGTAATTGTAGACTGAAAGACAGATTAGAAACATAGTCCTCTGTTTTCAATTATGCTGGATTTTGGATTGCTACATCTCATTTGAGACAGACGTATGGTTTAGTTTGGTAATGCCATTGCAGACGTTAAAGCCATACCAAACGGAGTCTGGCAAGAAGAGGCTATAGTAGAAAGTGACTGATCTGATGGATCATGGATGAGCCGTAATATTCACGTTCTCCGGTTTCCAGCCGTCGGATCCGTGCCTGAGTAGGTAGAGATAACAGACGTCGCGCATACACGGTCCTGTTATCTTGTAGATGTCTGAAGAACACTTTTCTAATGTCCTCGAGTATGGATCATCTAGTTCTAGTCTCTTAACGTATACCTGAAGCAAACAAGTGTATGCGAAATATACTAGACAAAATCTATAACAACAACATGTCAACATGTATGTTTACGTCAGATCATAAACCTTAGACGAAGATCGAGAATAAACCTTGTTATATAATGTCAAAGTAATTCTACACAAGATTTTAGACTCAATCTCCATAAAGTAAACCTTTTACATACATGGGTTTTGCAGTTTATGGTTCAGTTGATTTATTATCATAGTCGACGGCAGATAATAGAATGTTTAAGTTCGTATAATGAATATGATGGATTTCAAAACCTCTTAAGTGGAAAATGGTTCAAGACACGTAGATTTTTAGGGTTAAAAATGCCTCTGATTTTTTTACCATTATTTACTAATCTTAGTTGTTTAGTTGGGTTACTAGTTTACAGTTAACAGTCTATTACCCGCTCGCGCGTTTAAGAGAAAAACGCCGATGCAATAAGTTTCATAATCAAAACCTTACATCCCAAAACACCGGCGGATTTTTCGGCCAAGCCCGGCTCTTTCCTCTGTTGCCGCTGCATCAACCTCCGGCTCCTTGAAATTAGCTTTCTTGCTCAAATCCTCGAACGCGTCAACCACGTTCTGCAACCGTGCGACGAACTCTATGAGCAGCGACGCGAATGTGGCGAGAGACAACGCACTCGCGCTCTCGTACGTCTTTGTTGTCTCCACCAACAGGGAAGCTCCGTTCGTCGTCTCCACATGAGGCGGAAGTACAAGCCGTGCAGGCCACGACACCTGTTTCGACAAAGTAGGCCTATGGTTCAATGGCTCACGGTGATTCTTCTCCCCCCAGCTCTTCGGTATCTCAAGAACCGCCTCGCTTAGGGATTTGAAGACGTAGACCGGAGGAGGAGCTTCGAGGGTCTCTTGTGGATCTGAATCATCGAGGGAGAGCAGTTCTTGAGGCTCTGAATGTGACCGGTTTCCGATCTCCCAGCATTCGGAATTGACTAGAAGGTAAGATTTCTTGTCGATCTTGTGCTGTAACTCTTCGGCGGCTAAGTGTACTTCGAAGAGAATGTCGACTGGTCCTAGCTTCTCCATCTTCTTCACCTTTTCACCGAGCTCCCTCAACAATCTGGCTCCTTCTACACCCACTCTCTGAAGTTCTTGCCGGAAAACTTGTCTTCGTTCCTCTGGTGCCTATCAAATGTTTCCAGATTATAAGCGATTGCGTCGTTGTTTAAACTCAAAGTTCACAAATATATGAATCTTTCTTCGATATTACAAACAGTGAACGCTAGAGGGAAAGTGTTACCTGGATTTCAGCGAGAATGCAGCCGTGCAAAGCCATCACAGTGAATGCACAATGCTTGAGAGCGCCGCTGAGCTTGACGTAGCTCTGCCATGGGTAGTTAAATGACTTGTATGGTCCGTGAGGCGGCTCCCATATTGCGAAACTCATCTTTGCAATTACAACAGAGAGAAAACAAATAAACTAATTCAGAGACGAGAAGGAACGGAAGAAGAAACATATATATTTGTTAATGATAAACCATTTCACAAAGACAAATACCAGAGACTCTTCTTGGCTGGTAGACTCAACCGCTGATCTATAACCCTTGTAAACCGGATCCTCCGAGGCTTGGTACGTGAGGATTTTGGATGGGACTCTCTCGTATTCAACACAGCGTAGGTATCCATTGACACAACCTGCAATACCAAATGTCAAATATCATTAATTCAAGCATTTTCTTCTACTCGAGACGCAGAAAGCAAAACGCTTTGTTTTAACTAACCTTCAAGGGAAGTCGCGACATTCATGAAATTCTTCACAACAAGGTTATGAAGATCCTCTCCAGCCCATATAGGATAGATGAACATATTGACACCTAAACTAACGCCAGCACCAAGAGCTATAAGCAGGAACCGGGAGATAGCCACTTCTATGAACTGCCCTGTTCTGAACCCAGAGATCAGAATATAGCAATACGTCAGCAAGAAGACCCGGAAACCGTATTCGTAGGCTTTCATCGCCGGGTATAGTTTCATGAACGTTGCAAGGAACCCTGAAAACAAGAAACACCTATATAATAAGCAGAGAGAGTAAACCAAAAATGATGCTTTTAGAAAGAATTGATGATGATGCAACACACCAATGCAGAAGATACTAACGGTGCAGAAGAGCTCTTCCCAGTCTCCGGTGAGAGTCGAAAGCTCGGCCATTGCAAGGGCAAGACCTCCAGCTGATAATGTCCCTAGCGCTCGATTAAACCCTTTGCTTAGCGTTGCTCCTAATAGAACCAACAACAGTCATCACAATCTGAAGCTTTTTTTGCACATTTTCTCTTAAACAAAACGAGTAGAGATGTAACTACTAAGAAGTGTGATTCATTTCAATGATATCGTCAATTCCAGTCAAACCAAATCAACAGCACTTGCCTATTATTTTAATCTTAAACGAAGAAAACGACGAATTCAACACATGAAAGCAACAACACACGCTCAATTCTCTAAGAAGGAAACAAACCGAATCCAGAAAACTGTGACTGAACCTCAAATCGGTGAGAAACTAAAACGTTGAGAAAATAGAAATAGAAAGATTTACCGATCGTGAATTCGAAGACGACGACGACAGTGAGAATAGCCCAAACGGAGTAACGGCTGAGATCCGGGTTAGGTTCCTGGAAGAAAATCAAAACGGCGACGATCGTCAGAGCAAGCCCAATCTTCGCGGAGAAGACGATCTTTCTCGGATCAGAGACGCCCATGTCCCAGGCCTTCCTCGCCACCTCCTTGGAATCCTGATACAACCCGGAGATTTTCCCCCGTAGATTCCCGCACGAGCAGCAGCAGCATAACCGTGACCTTCCGTTACTCTCGCCTTCGAGAAGATCGTTCGACTCGATGTCGGTAAATCTGAAATCGGCGAAACCGTTATTGGAAAGAAGCCTCTCGCGTTTCTCCAGAATTCCATGCCTGAAGGAACCTAGCTTCGCCGCCATTACTGGACCTTCGCGGGAAAAAAAAAAGCACTTTAATGGCGGAGATATTTTTTTTTTATATTTGACTGACGAGAGATCTGTTGAGTGGGTGAAGGAGAAGAAGAAAAAAGAAGTGGTTATGAAGCGAAATGACGACGTTTTAATTGATTTTTTTAAATACTGTTTCATTTCGCTTTAATAATGCGACGAAAGTTAAAGATGATGCTACTTTCGTTACGTTACGTCACGTTAGGCATCTTTGTCAACATTCAGTTTGTCAGTCTAATTACCTCATATAGTATAAAAAATTAATTATATGCCAACACAACACTTAAGGGCATTAAGACGTTGAAATTACACTCTTCATTGACAATTCATTAATTAAAAATTTCAATGAATCTAGTCTCATTCCTACAGAAAGATAAATCAAACTTATGAAAATGGGGATTCCGTGAGTGTGACATTCCATTTTCTTTTCTTCTCTTCTTTTTGGGTAATACATCATTTTCTTTCTCTTCAAGAGTTTGGGACCTAACATTTATGGATGATGCCATTATTGCTAATGCAAGCAGCTAAGCATTGGAAAGAAGTGTGCTTTACTATGAAGAACAAACTTTTATAAATACATAGAGTTAAAAAAGCCAGTTTTGGATCTGAAAAACAAGCAATGGTATGATCAAATTAACAAGGATGCTTCAACTAACAAAGTGGACAAATACATGATGAGATTTTGATGTAAATGACTTGATCATAAACCTAATCCACAGGAATTTCAACGTTCATCTCCGGACTACAACTCCCAAAGACCTGTGACATTGGAGACACAAGAAAGATGATGCGGTATCAGATTCCTTAGATTGGACAAGTCAGAAGCATTCTGTAATTCTGAAAGCTAAAATTACAACAAAGAAATGATTCTACCTTTATGAAATCCTCAAGTGTTAAGAAAGAGTCACTTGTGTAGCCGGCTTCCTTCATAACCTGGCCTAATACTTGCTATACCACCAAAGTAAAACACAAAAGGTAAATAGTGAGAAAAAAAACTTGTTTACTGAGTTTATACACTGCTCATGATCCTAAATTCCTACGCATAAAGACTGAAGCAAAGATTGGAGCCCAACAAGATAACGTTGTATACCACCACTCTTGTAAGAACGATGACTAAAAATTTCTATGCATACATATATATACCTCTCTTTGCTCATCAGACATGAAAGACCCTGATAAGTCTCGCAACACTTCCATGATATCATTGAAGGACACTTTCCCATTGCAGTCAGAATCATACACTTGGAAGATCACTGAAACAACAACAAGTCTGATGATCTTTACATACAATTCAGTGAAAAGTGAACATGTGTTTCCGAAATCAATTTTGAGGGAACTATCTACTTACGTTTAACCTTTTGTTTAAGACTTGCCTTGGCACTGAATGCAGACAAGAAAGCCACAAAATCCTTAAAGTTCAAACCATCAACCATCTTAAGCAGCCTCTGTTATTTACATATATCCAGCAAAAGGTAAAAAAGAAAGCTGTTTCAATTAAGTGATTGGTCTTCACAAGATTTCATAAAGGAAAATTACCTGAGAGAGTGGATTCATGGCAAACTCAGGCACAGAGAGAAACTCATCAGAAGATATAAATCCCTTTGCATTACGATCTAACTGGCAAAACCTTTGATACAGAGACAGAATCTCCTGCTGCTCAACTGAAGAAGAAACGCAGTAAGCGAATTGGGATCAAAAGCATACAAATTTCGACCTATTAAACGAAGAGACAGAGAGATGTCGAGAAAAAAAAAGTCGCACATAGATCCTGGCAATGGCTCTGGACTTCTTCGATATCGTACTGAGTCAGCATCGACGAAGTGTTCCCCATTTCTTTACGCCTTCAAAATTGTGATTCAACAAATATGGTTAATCATCAAAACCCATTTCGTTATCCGATCACAGAAATTTCTATCAGAGATTCGTGAAATTAGGATGAAATTAGTTGACATAAAATCCCTAACATGCGAAAAGCAATGATTTTTTTGCCGCCAGATATTATTGTGGATAGAAGAGGGTTGATTTGAGAGAAAGATGACACTGATTCAAAATTGCAAAACGTGAAATTTCTCAAACTTACAGTGAAGCTTATCGCTTTCTTCTTGGTCGCAGGCGTTTGATCTGACTCTTCCCCCAATCGCAGTCTGAAAGTTTCGCCGGAGATCACTAAGAAAGCAAAATGTCAAAGGCCCAACTATTTAAAAGGCCCAATTCACTTTACCGCACGCGCGAAAGCTTGGCGCGTCCGATATATCGCAACGTATTAGATCTTTGTTCATCCGGATTCCGCGGAATCGTTCCTTTCTCTTTTCGATTTTGATTTCGCTTCTTCAAGTCAAAGCCATTGATACTCTCTTAGCTCTCAGGCCATGTTTTCGACTCTCTCACCTGCCTCCTCACTTTCTTCAACGATGATTTCTTCTTTCGTAGCCGTCAAAGCGCCTCCGGTCGCCGGGATTCCCCGTCGCGATCTCCCTTCACTGCGTGTCAAGGCTTGCTCGAATCAGAATCGTTCTGATTGTTGTTTTCACGATAAGCTCAAATCTCTCGCCAAATCAGCGATTCTCATCGGCGCTGCTGTTTCCATGACCGGGAAATTCTCAACCTTACCGGTGAAAGCGGAGTCGACTCCGGTTACTACGACCACCGAAGAAACCCTCGAGGAAGTGAAAGAAGAGAAACCATCTGAAATCGAACCTTTATCTCCGTTGTCTGAGCTTCTAGACTCCACTCCTGAGGCGATCCAGACACTAAGATCACTCCTTCAGCAGAAGCTAGAGAACGGAGAAGACGAAGAAGCTCTCAAGCTTTTAGAGAGACTAGTCACCGCACAGCCAGAGGAAACAGAGTGGAAGTTCTTAATGGCGAGGCTACTGGGAGAGATGGGTCGTCCAGAGAAAGCACGCCAGATGTTCGAGGAAATTCTCCGACGAAACCCGCTCTCGTTCGAGGCTCTGTTCGAGAACGCATTGCTCATGGACCGGTCCGGGGAAGGAGACGCGGTGCTGCAGAGGCTGGAGGACGCTTTGGCTGTAGCGGAAGCTGAGAACTTGGTGAAGGAAATGAGGGACGTGAGGCTGATCATTGCGCAGATACAGTTCTTGCAGAAGAACGTGGATGATGCGTTGAAGAGCTACGAAGATTTGACGAGAGAGGATCCGAAGGATTTTCGACCGTATTTCTGTAGAGGTATGATTTATAGCTTGCTTGACAAGAACGTTGAAGCTAAGGAACAGTTTGCGAAGTATAGAGAGCTTTCTCCGAAGAAGTATGAAGTTGAAGGGTATTTGAGAACTCCGTTATCTAAAATGAAGCTCTTTGGTAGTGGTGAAGAGAATGGAGTTAAGTTAGAATAGCTTTCATTCATGTATTTGAAGAATAAGACACGGAAGACTAGATTGTTTTCCTGAGAAGTTACGCTGGATTTTGTTTTTTTAAGCAAGTGTTTCTATGTTGAATTTGAAAACTCACTCTTTATGATTCTTATTGTCAAGTAAAACAAAGAGAAATGAAGAGACATTGAAAAAAGGACTTATTTGTTATCATAAAGAGAGACTGGTGTTTGTGTGTAACAATACATCACTCAAGCTGGTAAAACGCTTACATGAGTTCGTCAGTTCATTTCTAAAAAAAACAAGAGCAAATCTGCACAGTCCAAAGACCATTTCATGTCCTGTAGTAAAAGCTTTTGGTCACCTGCATCACTGAAGAAAAAAAATAAAAGGAACTTTAGGATCACTAAGCTCGTAATAAAAGTGAAAACAGTAGCTAACAACATTAATCAGACTAGCTTCTAAAGCTGCAACGTTTAGCACAGTTTATACACACATCGACTTCAGAAGTTTCGCCTACAGTAAAACCACTTAGCAGAACTTTCCACAAGTCATGTTTCATTGTTCAAGAATATCACAATACACTGACTGCTAGGAATTAGGATTATGGTGGAAGATGTATTAACAATCAGAGCGTTCCTAAATACCTCAAAATAGAGCCACTCCTACATTTCATCAGTGACATTTTATAACAAATATTCACCCTTTTGGACTCTAGTTTCTTTGGCAACAGCCTATACAAATAGTTACTATTCAATTATTTGATCTAACAAACTAAGATCAAATAGAGGTCATTCATCTGATTAACTCTGGCAATATACTCTAGTAAAGACAAGCATGGAGGAGATTCTCTTAGAGTTTCAGTTTTGGAGAACCCTAAGCTAACCCATAAAGCATCAACCAACTCTAGAACCAGAAATGCCAAATTTTTCTTAAGTTTTTTTTTCAGTTTATTAACAGAGAAAATAAACATCAATGACTCAGGAGCAAGGAAACAGTTACTTACTTCAGATTGATCAGGCGCAGAACATTATTCAGCTTCAGCTTCAACTTCAACAGCCTCCGGCTTGGGACCTGTACCGAAAAATACATTAGGATCACAAAACATGACAATTTATTCAAACCAAATCAACAATTAAGAACTAATTTTAGCACAGACCAGTCGACATCAAATTCAATCCAGTGATTTTGCACATAACATCCATTTGTAAACGAGTTAAGAAAATGACTAATTCAACAAGACGTTAACCGATTAAGAAAACAAAACCCCCAAAGGAATCGAATAAAACGTTTCAGCAAAAAACTCACCGTGGAGCGACATAGGACGGTGGTCTTTTCCCCAGCCGACGCCGCGGGTGGAATCGAGATACTGCTGGACGAGATGACGGCATTTCTGGTAATGGTTGACGCCTTCCACGCGGTAACACCATTTGACCTTCTCGCGCATGATCTTCGCCTTCTCGATTTGGATCCACTTCTCCCGGACGATGTGCTCTCTCATCTCCATCATCGCCACCGGATCCTTGTAAGGATGCGCTGGATCGAATCCATCCGGCGCCGTCTCTTCGAACTCCGGCAATCCCTTCTTTCTCCCCATTGCTTCTTCTCTCTTCTTCACTCGTCTTCGTGATTAGCTTCGCATCTGGATTTGAGTTGTGACTTTGAGACCTTTCTGTTCGTATATTAACTTTGGGCCTATTCTATTGGTTTAAATTCATAGGCCCAAACTTTCAAACACAACATAATCACGGCCCTTTTGACTTTGTATGCGAGTTGTTTTAGATGGAAAAAATCAAAAATGTTTGATCTTATAAAAGCGAGTTATATCCGAAGTTGGTAATTGCTAGGAACGACAATTGTCATTTTTTTTCAATTACGTTGAATGTTATTTTAATTGTAATTGCTATGAACCAAATTGTTGTTTCTTCAAAATTTTCATCATTATTTTCCTTTTCACAATGTATAGACATAACATACGGCCACCAGCCTTACACAATCTTTCAAGGTTTTTATGGAAAAAATTCCACACGGTTTGTGTAGACACTAGACAGTAGACAGACAGGCTTGAAGATTTTGTGGACTCCAATCTTATGGTTTTAAATTAACTATAACGTGAAATATCCGGTAGTCACTTCGACTTGATAATCATATTTTAAATATCTAAAGTTTATTTGGAGTAAATAATATGCCAATTGCAGGATATGGCCGATTCAATTATGATATTTTTTTTTTGATTAAAGTATAGTAATAATTATCCGTCATTGTAGCTAAAAAAGTTCTTGAAATTTTCAACCACATATTGATATTTGTTACTAGCTAATACTCCATTGGGGTTAAAGGTTTTTACATAAGAAGTCATTTAATTTTTATATTTTTGAAATAAAATATATTTTATCATTAATTCTAAGATATTTCAGCCAATGAAAACAAAATCTGCTAAATATAAATAATCAAACATAACGAAAACACATTTAATTTTACATAAAAACTCTAAAATTCCTTATATTTTGAAATACAACATACGTTAACGTATACGTGTGTGTGATTCTAGAAAGCTGGATGTCTATAAACAAGGTAGGGAAAGATATGAAGATGAACTGAATAAATTGTTAAAGTTTTCCAGTGGTAGGATTGACATTCTAATTAGATATATATGACCCAACATATCTATCTGTGTATACAAATCTCCCAGTAAATCTGCTTTGAATATCAATAACTCGTTATATTAATATTATTTTCTTGTGTGTTCTATATATATAATACACACATTCCATTAGGTTGGTAAGATCTTTAACCACTCTTCCACAGTAATTATTTTAACCTTGTATTAATAATTAAAAACTAAATAACTTCGTTTTTTTGGTCAAACTAAACTTCACTCTAAAACTATGTAAGTGTAACCATTCTAATCGCTTTTAAAAACAAAGCCTCATTTTTAAACTAAAAGTAACAATTCTAATCGCCTTTAAAAACTAAATAACTAAGACCGGCAGGCTGCATTCTAAAAGAATTAAACCAGAAAATCCAATATTGATACAAAAGTTTTAGTTTCTAGCGATGAGTCAAAGAAAACATAATCTTAAGGAAAACATATATTAAGTTTTAGAATAGATATTTTTCTGCCAATCATCCCATATCTTTTTTTCTCTCTACAATTATTAGATTGAAGTTTACTTGGAAACAAAAATAAACAAATTTTGGATGACCTTTTCAGTTTTCACACAAAAAAGTAGACAAATTTACCGACAGAGCCAAAGATACTATGTGAATTTTATTGTTTCTGTGTCCATATTTTATACGATCGACAAATATTTGATTTGGCATGATTATAATTACCTATCAATCAAGAAAGTGGGTCCACCAAATCAAATAGTTTTGTTCACCCCCGACAATGGCGAGGAAACATTTGCACGTAACATTCTAACGTAAGATATGAGTTATAAAATTCGAGTTATGTATAAGAGTCGCAACGCAATCTGATATTCTATAAAACCAATTCTTGCGTATAATTTTATAAGCATGTTGTTTTCTTTGGATGTATATGTGTTCATTTGTATAAATGTATATGGCCGTGAGATAAGCGAAAAGACAAGTGTCAATAGTGTATAATGTGTCAATAGAGTAAGAGGGATGCAACGATATAACTGGAAGCATTTTCTTTATATTCGCTATAAATTTAAGATATATATAACACTTATAAATTTGACGGGTAGTCCAGATTTAGATTTAGGATCTTTTTTAACACAATAAAAAAATAACTGAAATGACCAAAGAATGAGAGGCCATGCACGCATGTTCACATTACATTGGGCATTAGGGTTTCATTCATGGTGGGTAGAATTGGTTGAAGTTGGTTGGACAAATCTCACAAAAATCCATTTTATGTTTCTATAATTATATTTATGCAGATATTAAGACGGATGTTAATTTATAAACATAGTAATGTAATCTAAAAGGAACATTAATATATACGCCGACAAATATTTTATTAGACACTACAGTTAATATAGAAGATTATAACAATATAAAATTGGGTACGTATGCGTGGAGAAATACCTTGAATTGTCAAAATGTTAGCTGTAATAATCAACAGTTGAAAAAGACTACCGTGGCCGCTTCTCCTTCAAGATCGGTATTTGGTACACAAATCATTTTGTATTTTAATATATAGTTTAGTTATATGTGTGAATATATATAAAACCCCATCTATGTCACATTATTGAAAAGCTTTTTGCTGTCAATCTCCTTCGTTCTCTTTCAGGGAGCTAGAGAGGAGAACCATTCTTTTTCTTTGTCGCTTCTATTTTACATTTGTTAAAAGACAACAAAAAATGGAAGAGAATCTTCCTCCGGGATTCAGATTTCATCCTACAGACGAGGAGCTCATAACGCATTATCTTTCTCGGAAAGTCTCCGATATTGGATTCACCGGTAAAGCTGTCGTCGACGTTGATCTCAACAAGTGTGAACCATGGGATTTGCCAGGTAACTATACTTGGATTGGATCATTTCTCAAAATAAAAACAGATGAATATTATACTTAAATCATTTATAATACTATAGGTCTATAGCATATGTTTTTCTCGTATAGAGTGTTCTCCTTGTTTATATCATTTGCAAATAATTAAACTGCGTTTACTTTGTAAATATGCTAAGAAATGAGTATGTATTTGTGGGTTTGCTTTATTTTGTTCTATAGTTCCTCTCTATTTGTTATTTTCATATAATTTCATACAATAATTTTAGAAACTATGATATAATATTAAATGTAAAATCAGTGATTAATGATTTCGGCAAGTAGTATATAGGACTGACTGTACCATTTAATATCGATAAAAGACATATAATTTTCGTATTTATATAGATAACTTAGATAAGTGAAACCATAGATTGTGACTTTGTCTTTGTAACCATATTCTTCATTTCTCCGGGAGAGTACGTAGTACATTGATTAGGTTCTATATATAGGTGTATCTAGCCTACCAAACATGTGGAGACTACATATGTACTATATATAAATGAGTTCTATAGTTATAGATGGCGTATATAATGATTTATTATTATTATTATTATATTACAGCTATCCCCCAAAAAAATGATAATATTCGCATATATGTAGGTCATTATGATATAAATAAAATAACGTGCGAGTACTTGTGCATATGTGCAGCCAAAGCTTCAATGGGAGAGAAAGAATGGTACTTCTTCAGCCTAAGAGACCGTAAATACCCAACCGGTTTAAGGACAAACCGAGCAACCGAAGCTGGTTATTGGAAAACCACCGGTAAAGATAAAGAGATATACCGAAGTGGAGTGCTGGTTGGGATGAAGAAAACCCTAGTTTTCTACAAAGGAAGAGCTCCAAAAGGTGAGAAAAGCAATTGGGTTATGCATGAGTATAGGCTTGAGAACAAACAACCCTTCAAACCCGCTAAGGTACAAATATATATTAACAAAATTTTATCAAACTATTTGGAAGATAAATGTAGTTTTAATATCAAAGTTAAAATTTGACCATATAAAATTTCAGGAGGAATGGGTAGTGTGTAGGGTTTTCAAAAAGAGCACATCAGCAAAGAAACCACAAGAACAACAACAACCTCAATCTTCTCAACCATCTTTTGGATCTCCATGCGATGCAAACTCATCGATGGCAAATGAGTTTGAAGACTTCGAGCTTCCGAATCTGAACTCGAACTCATCAACTGTCGATTACAATCATATGCATCAATATTCACAAAATAGTGTTTATTCAGAAGACGTTGCAAGTACGGCTGGTCTCAATATGAATATGAACATGGCTACTAATGCTAATCTCCAGTCTTGGACAACAAGTCTACTTGGTCCGCCTTTATCTCCAATCAACTCTTTGTTGCTCAAGGCTTTCCAAATTAGAAACTCCTATCCTTCTCCTCTTCAACAAGGGCTCTCCAATATTATGCAAAATGGTTCAAGTTCGTCTCAAGTGCAACCGCAGCCGCAAGAGGAAGCGTTCAATATGGACTCCATATGGTGAAGAGATTCAAATTAATCACATATATAGTAAATTTGAACTTCCTATTAACTGGTTCTTATGTGTAATCTCCATCAATTTTAACTGTATCATTACACACACACACACACACACACACACACATAGATCTTCTATGAGGTCATGTAAATTATGTGAAAGTGGGTAAAGGTTCCCATGCATGTCCACGTCCTTTTATGTTTATAGGGTATAGGCTTATTATTATAGCTAAGGAACAAAGAACCGTCTTATTATAGCCTCTGTATTTTTAATTGATATGAATATTTAAAATTGATGGTTGCAAATCTATTTCCTGGCCATCTTTTCTTAGTTTTCTTCACCAAAAAAAAATCTTTTCTTAGTTTTACCTTTTTATATATTTTAAACTTCTTCATTTTTTTTCTGTAAATTTACACCTAAACTCAAATAATAAATTACCAGTAGGTGAGAAGAAATGTCTAAAATCAATTATTCCTTAGTGACCAAAATGATAGATTCAAAAATCTTAACTCTCACAAAATAGTGTTTTTCCACATTATTAGTTTTGCTATAAAAGAAATTTGCTGGTAGATGATGGGCCATTGGAGACTGTAAATTACTAGGATAGCGAAGGAGCCCAAAACAGCCGAACAGTTTGAAGCTGGTTCGAAACCCATATTCTTCTTCTCGTTAGGGTTTATGACTTTATTATGAGATAAGATAATTTCTTGAAGTGACATATACTCACAAACTTAGCACGTTGTTTTACCCTTGACATGGTATCAATTGCTGAGCCAACATCAATGGAGATCAAAATTGTTGCAAGACTTAAAAGACAAAGACAAATCAATATACATTTGTTAAATACTTTAATAGGTGACAATACATTAACAAAACGTACAATTTAAGAAAGCAAAACTGATCTGTTTTCTTCTTCCTTGGCTTAGTTTCAAATCTTCATGTTTCTGAGATCTCCCTGCGACTGGACTCAACTGCTCTTTGTTACCTAACACAAGTTGATGATGATGAATAATATCTGGGTCATGATTCTCAAATCTCCACTTTCTCTTCTTCACCCAGCAATGGACAGAATCATTTCTGTTTCACAACTCGGACAAACTCTGCGATCACTGTCAGCTACTACCTCCAGATATAAAACTATGCACGCCTTAGCGAGATGGATTTTCAGCTTCTTCTAAACTAGAAATTGCAGTTTCACCATCAGCTTCATCCCAATCACTCTCATCATCCTCCGCATCATCTTTCTCCTCATCCTCCTCCTCATCATCATCGTCATTCTCCCACTCGGATTCACTGTATGATGGATTTTTTGAAGTCTGCAAGAACCAGTAGGTAATGAATGAAGTGAACAAAGCAGAACATGCATGCTTCGTGAAATTAGAGAGATCTTAAAAGTTGTAACCACTTACAAGTTCGTTCTGCATTTGCTCTATTGTCTTCTCCAGTTCAGAAATATGCTGACTAAGTGCCTGCAATCATATCATACAGAAATTTCAATAAGCAAAGCTGCGATCAAGCCGAGAACATAAAACACAATTCGTGTGGGAGGATTTTCAAGAGTTTCGAACGAACCTCATGGCGTTGCATTGCAATGGAACGTTTCAAAGCTTTTGCTTTCGTCAGAAGATTCCTTGGTCTCAAGCTAATGGGTCTCTGGTAATTCTTTCCACGGTAATAAATAAGAGCAAATCCTTTAGGTACTTTTTCTATTGCCACAAGAACTCCACCGCTCTCGTACTCCAGTAACCGAGCCGTGTCCTCAACAAACGCAAGACTCTTCTGTTTCGATATAAGCTTCACCAGTTCTCTGTGCTTCCAGTGCAGATGCATATTCTCGATGACCCCATCGAACACGCCACGGATACCTGTTAAGTTAGGTCCATGCAAAGAAACTGTTAATCCATATAACAGGGAGACATTTGTTCAACATCCTATGATTAACAGCCACAATGCTTAATAAAATATAAGAGGACTCACCTAAGGGTAAGTATGACTTCATTTTCAATCCCACTTTCCGGAACATGATTCTTTCTTCCTCAGAGATGACCTCTTGATCATAGTCAGGTCCGTTTGGAATCATTGAGGATTCTATTTTGGACAACAGTTTCTCTGCTCTTTGAAATTTCGACTGGGCCTGTCACAGACAAAGAGAGATGATAAATACAGTATCTCACAAAAGACTTCAATTTAACAAAAGGTCTACTTACAATGTTTAGTTTGTGCTCGATTCGTTTGACAACTCTGGCACTCGCGATCCTTGAAGCTTCTTCAAGCATCTTTTCTCGATGGTCAGGAGTTATCTCTTTACCCCATCGGGCTTGAGCTTCGTAAAATTCTGCCAGAGTGCCAGCTTCCGCTGGTACTTTGTCTCCAACAGGCTGAGTAGCCTCCATGTCTCGATTTCTTACCCTCTCTTCGACATCTTGAATCTCTTTTGTTAATTCTTGTCTTTCCGCCAAAGTAGCTGCCACACTTGAAGGAAGGAAGTCCTTTCCACGGTATAGTACAATGTAATACTTGTTTCTGAGCAGCAAGACACCCCCTGTCAATGTCTATAGCGAAAAGACAAGAAATGAATGAAGAAACTTAGCCTTCCGTCTGACACTTTTTTGCTCTTTTGCTATTAAGCAATGGCCACTCAGATCCTCCTCAAGTGATTACCAAATATGTACTAAATAAAAGCTATTATACATATGCATGGGTCCTATATTTCCAGTAGTTTCACTATTTCTTTTACTCGAGATATTAACATCGAAGCTCATTGAACTCCCAGTCTAGAGATAGAAATATTAGGTGAGCAGGTTAACAAAATACTTCTTGAATTCTATATCTCGATCTAACCACCAAGTTGTGAGGTCTCCATCAACTTCTAGAAATCCCAATATAAATAATTTTCTTTGAATATGAATAATACTCCTAAACATCCATACGAAAATTGGCTTAAGGGAATGACAGATACTTTTCACCTATGTTTCAAACAATTTATGAGACAGCCTTAGTATCTTATCTCAACAGTAAAACTTTTCCCTAACATATAACATTAGAAAAAAAGAAAAGAGAGAACCTTTATCTCATCCGCCATCAGTTTGTTGTTTGTATTCTGGATACCTCGCTTCACGGCGATTTTCGCAATCAGACTTTTCTCCCAGAGCTTGAGTATAGCAGCTGCCAGTCCTTGGTGATTTCTGTTCCTACCTGTAATGTGGATATTCAAGTCAAAAACTTGGCACACATCGAACAGAAAACCTCCTAGACAAAAGTTCATCTAGGAACTAGAAAGCATCTTACCAAGAGCAAAATGGCACGGGAGAGTTTTACCAATCTTCCTGAGATTTGTCATTTCTGCATTGGTCAAATTTGACCTCATCCCAGTAGGAAGAAGCCTGAAAGGTGTTTTATAACCAGGAATTGTAGGAGGCAGCAAGTCGGCGTTCACAGGCAGCACTCCAGTACCCCACCACTCCTGAAAACGTGGACCTAAACTGTCCAACAGACTGTTAAACTCAGCTTCTTCTTCCGTCACATTCTCCTTGCGAATCGGGTTCTTGACAATTGGATCTCTGATTTCCGGAGGCGCACTTTGATTATTATCTTTGGCATTTGTTGCTTCATCGCCAGCAGAAGATACATCTGGAATAAAAAGAGTCTCTTCAGGTCTGGCCATTTGGTTAGAGATCACCAAAGGTCCTTGATAGTCACGCCCCCGATACACCACCATCACACTTCCTGCTCTCCATATCACCATTCCACCAGTTCGACGCTGCCCCATTAGAGTCAATTCCAATCAGTTTTCTATAAACCTAAAACTTAGGCTTGCATAAATTCACCTAATTCACAATTGTGTTACAATGAAGTGTGAAAGGAAACTGACCTCAACAATCTCATGAGCCGTCCTCATGTCACGAGCAAGCACTTCATGGAACTTGAGCCTCACAAGCTCTTCTTTCCTCCACGTGTCATGAATCTTCTCCATCACCGCCTGCGTAAGCCCAGCTTTTGGTATACTAATCCTTACCCTCAGATACATTCCGTCTCTCCTCAGCCGCCGTAGCTCAGAATCCTCAACCGTAAGCTCCGCCAGCGATGGAGCTCTAGCTCTCCTCTTCTTCACCGCCACTCCTCCCTCTCCTTCGATCCTCTCCGCCGCCTGTTCTTCCTCGTTCTTCTCCCATGGCAACATCACATCATCCTCATCGTCGCTCTCTTCCTCTCCCTCAGCCAGCATCATATCAGGCCTCACCCACTCTCTCTTCAACAAATCCCCCAATCTCTCTTCTCCAGTCACCGGCTTCACATCTCCCCCATCAATTCCGTCTTCCTCGCCATCTTCCACATCCTCCTCATCGTCTGAAGCTAATCCCAAGTTCCGCAGACGGAGAACGATCCTCTCAATCGCGTTTTGTCCTTTATCCTTCTCCAAATACCGGAGTTTCGCTTCCGCTTCCTCCTCCGCCGACCGAATTTTAGCTCCGCCGTTGCGCTCGTTACCTTTCTTCCCGGAATGATCGCCGGCACCGGCGGATGACGGAGGCCACTTATCGATCCAAGGAGGCGTGGGTTTAGAATTCCGCTGATCCAATCTGCGGTTGTTATGGCTCCTGTTGTTGCTGCTACGCTCGCTCGTACGGAGCGAAGAGAATCGCCGGACAATGTGGCGCGAGGGTTTCGCAGACAACGAATAGAACAGCAATGCGTGGAGCGAAGGGGAAGATGAGTAGTAGCGAGAGCTCGAGGTCAGAGGAAGAGAGCTTCTCAGTGGCATTTCTGTAAAATTAAGCGGAGCCAAAGCCACCATTGACACTGAGAGTATCTATCTAGAAGAAGCTTTTAGCGAACTGTCTTCGCCATCGTTTTGGATATTGAGAAAATTTTGCAGGCGGATAAGCTGAAACAAAAATTCAAAGAACACTCCGACACGGATAAGATTTTTGTTTCGTCGTCCTAATATTGGGCCTGTTTAATGGGCTTTAAAGGCCCAATATAAGGAACTGAGTAAGGAAATTAACTAATTACGCAACTGAAAAACAATTTATATAAGCGGAAGAAAATTTTGCTGTCCGGGTTTGGGTAAAAACCGGTTTCGTTGTGCTTTTGAGTCACCGGTCTTACGTGATTCACCGGAAATTCGTAAATTTTAGTGCGAAACTCCGATCGATTAAGTTTCTGCCGCCAGTTTTGTTTTTGTCCCCTTATCTTTGCGCTTGTTCTCGGAGACGAGGGAGAGAAATCTACCATGGGTCGGCCTCCGAGTAATGGCGGTCCGGCGTTCCGATTTAACCTGCCTGAGGTAATTGAATCTTGATGATATTCTCTTCGTAATGTCAAGTGTTTAGTGTTGCTTGAGGGATTGCGAGCTTCCTGAGTTTAAATTAGTTTCTGGAGGTCTGGGTCTCTATTTGAGGGTTCGTGATAGGGTTTTTAGATTCTGAGTTTTAGTCGACCAATTCAATTTTTTATCTTATGGAAGTTTTCTGAATTCTATCATGAGGCACTTTTTGTGGTTTCTAATTCGAAGATACGATTTTGAGTTTCTTGTTTGAAGATAAGTTTTTGTTTTTGTTTTTGTTTTGCTTAAAGAGACTGTTTTGTTGTTTGCTTTAAATCTTACGGACCCCATTAGCTCTATTTTGTTAAAAAAATGCGTTTAGAGGTTAGATTCATAAGTGTTTCCATCTATCTGATGTGTTACAGAAAAATAATATGCATGAATCTGTTCTTTGACGAGGTTATTGTTTGCTTTGACACTAATCTTCAAAATGTTATAAGGTAACGGAGATGGAAGCAATATTGCTTCAGCATAACACAGCAATGCCAGGTCGACATATTCTTGAAGCTCTTGCTGATAAGTTTAGGTATTTACTCGTTGCAAGCTCAATTCTTTGGTCTTCAAAGCACCTCTTGTGTGTTTGTTGTCATCTATAAAATTGGTTACATTTTATTCTCTGTCTCAGTGAATCAGTGGAGCGGAAGGGGAAAGTTGTCGTCCAATTCAAACAAGTAGTGTTTTTTCTTCTTCTTTCATGATTCATATGTTTTTATAAAGATAGGAGTTACTTAATGGGATGTTGTTTCTATTCATCACAGATCTGGAACTGGTTCCAGAATAGGCGATATGCTCTAAGAGCTAGGGGAAACAAAGCTCCTGGGAAGCTAAATGTATCTTCCATGCCTCGAGCTGTGGATCCAACAAATCAGATGAGAAATGTGCTTCAACCATTAGCCGTTGGTCCTAAAGCCACTCACATGTCTGGACATTTACCTGCCATGACGCCTGTCCCTTCCGGTATTTTAGGTGCCTTATATATTTTACCTGCAATCATATAAGTTGAGAAGCTTATTCATTTGAATAGTTTTCATCAGATTTCTCAAATATCCAATTTCGTAACTGTTTACTGCTTATTCTTATAGTTCCCGGTGTGATGAGGAGTGGTTCAGACAACTCTTACTTGGAATTTGAAGCCAAGTCAGGCAGGGATGGTGCATGGTGAGTCCCTTTCATTGGTTCTTCAGTATTTTTGGCTGACTTATGATAATTTTCTCTTCAATCTTATAACTCATTATATTCCAGTGGTTTTCTCTAATGTGTATCTCTTTCGTTTACTTACAGGTATGATGTGCAAGCTTTCCTAGCTCATAGAAACTTGGAGATTGGTGATCCGGTAATTCTTAGGCTCCTAGCCAGTTTCTAGCTGACTACTTTGTTCCCCATTCTTCGTTTTGGTTATGAACAAATGTTTTCTGTTTGGTATTTCAGGAAGTGCAGGTTCGATTTGCGGGTTTTGAAGTTGAAGAAGACGAATGGATAAACGTGAAGAAGCACGTACGACAACGCTCACTCCCATGTGAAGCATCAGAGTGTGTTGCAGTTCTTGCTGGAGATCTCGTTCTTTGTTTCCAGGTTTCAGAATCTCGTTCCCTTTTAAGCATTCATTGATGGATATTTATGAAATATTTTAGAGTTAGTGGGACATAATCTTCATTGTATGACAACTTCAGGAAGGCAAAGATCAAGCTCTTTACTTTGACGCCATTGTTCTTGACGCACAAAGAAGAAGACACGATGTCAGAGGTTGTCGTTGTAGGTTCTTGGTGCGTTACAGCCACGACCAGTCCGAGGTTGGAGGATCATCTCTCTCACTGTCTCTAACCCTTTTTTACCTGTCAGCTTCATTTAGTTTCATGGTTTTGGGACTCTGAAGCAAAACCTTCCTCACTCACCTATTTTGGATTTTCTTTTCCTTAATCCCAGCAGGAGATCGTTCCCCTGAGGAAGATTTGCCGGCGGCCCGAGACAGATTACAGGCTACAGCAACTTCACAGCGCTGCCAACGACTTCGCTAACTCGAATCAGCTTCAGAAACCCGCTCCAGATGCTGCAAAAACCCTTCCTTCACAAGCTAGCTCCTCAGTGCCCATTGTTGCACCCGAGCTGAAAGATCCGAGCTTGAACGCCAGCGCCTGCGCCACTCCAGCTACTTTGGTTCAGCCTAGCTCCAATGCAGCCACTGTGCCCGCTGGTTCTGTGTAGGCCCTCTGTTCTATCCCCTTTTTGTAACCACTATATTCACCGGCACTAGTTAGAGCCGTAGAGGTTTAACTTGGGATCAAAAGCTTTTGTAATCTTAGCTTGGGATCAAAAGCTTTTGTCATCTAAAACTGTATCATGGCATTTTACTTAATCCTTCATGTATGATGGAATAGTTATGTTTTAGCTCGGTTTATTTATTATCTATTTATGGTCATCGGTTACTCTTTTGAACAGTGATGATTGTAACATATGGTCAAGAGTAAGGCTATAGTTTGCAAGTTGAAAATCTTCAATGTGTACCTTAAGCTGTGTCATTTAGATTTTCAACTTATTGGTCCTAAGAGATTTAGTGATGTGATGAACTTAGACACAGACTAGAGAAGAGTCATGAGGTGAAGAAATTATTTTGCTTCTGTAGTCTTTTGTAAATGATGGATCAGACCAGAAACCGAACAACAGATTATACAAACACTTGCAACTGTTTTTGTTGTTGCTGGATAACAATGGAAATAAAAAGAAACTTACAGATTTTATGTTTCTATCTTCTGTAACAAAAGGGCTCAATTCTCTCTCAACATTTTCTTCAACGCCCTACATATCTATCTATATACATCATATATGTTTGTTGGTTGATCGGAAAATACAAGTGACTACATTATCGCGTGTAACTTCCGGGTATAGGATCCAGTCCCCGAACCGGACCCTGACCGGGATGGGGAATGAGACGGAGCTTGGACCGGGGACGAGTTAAGAATCTCCTTACCAAGGTCTTTGATCTTGTTTATAAGCAGCGTTTGCTCTCTCTGAAGCTGGACCAAATACTCTTCCTGCTCGTCCTCCAAACTCTCAAGCTCTCCTAAAGCTTCACCAAGACCTTCAAGATCTCCGTCGTCAATCAAATTCTGAAACTTTATCATCACCTGCTTCATCTGGTTCGACAGCAACAGCGCCTTGTTAAACGGTGAACCAGAGTCCGCGCTGGCGCGTCTCGGCATCTCCGTGACTTTCCTCGTCACTCTGACACGTATCTCGCCACTTGTCACTCCTTGGAGAGGTATCCACTTGTCTGCAGTCTCGTTCGGCTTTAACCGTTGGTACTCCACGACGCAGTTACCGATGCTTGAAGAAGCAAGCAGAGTGTTGTGGTCTTTGACATGCAGCTCCAAGGAGCTCCCATCATCTGGGAACTCCATCGTCTGGTTCCATTTCGGCTCCAACGTCTTATAAATCACCTGAAAACATCAACACACACAAACACATTTGTGAGTTTTGCTTCTTAAGGCCTTTTTTAGTCCAAAAATGTACCTTTGTCCTCTGTTTCTTCTCTCCATACTGAACCCTAACGTAAGGATCACTGGTTCCTCTAAGATCCGCAGCGACGAGATCACGCGCTTCAACAAGAACCAATTCAATCAAGCCTTTACCAGAATCCGCCTGAAGAAAAAGAAAACTAAACATCAATGAGGGAAAACAAAGTAAACAGAGTGTTTATGAATGGTATATATACTTACTTCGTTGTACTCGGGACTAATAGCTTCGATCAAAAGCTCGATTTCTCCAGAGCTAACATCTTCAAGAGGAACCCAAATATGCATCTCGCTATTGTTGATTCCTTGAAGGCTCAACGTAGCCGTACCGATGTTTTCAGTGCCAAGCATCTCTTCTCTGTAGCATTTCACCTTCAGATATTCTTCTCCGGCCAACTCCTCAAACTCAAATTTCTGGTTCCACACACACTCTACAGCGTTCACCGTCTTCTGTATAGTCTATAAATACACAAGAATGATTATTAATTATCAGATAAACTTTTGAAGTGTAATGCATGTAGAGATTACTTACTTTTCCATACTGTAACTTGACAGAGGCGTCGCATTTCCCCGCCTTGTTCGAAACAAGATTCTTTCCGGCTAACACCGTGACGATTATTTTCCGACCGGTTTTGGACAATAAGCTGGATGATGAGGCATCAAGTGACTGTAAAGAACTCGAATGACCACTGTTCAAGCTATGTGACCCGTCGGAGAAATGCCATTCTTTCAAAAGCAGCTTGACGGTTAACTAAATCAAAATCAAGGAATCAAACTTAGGGTTTATAACGTAGAAAAGAAGTAACTGTTTTGTTCTACTATCCCTATCTTTTACCTCGCCGGAGCTAACTCCTTCAAAGGGAACAACCATCTCGATTTCTTGACCACAGAACTCAGCGTGTTTCGCAATCACACCGTTGTCAGATCCAAAGGCCCAAAATATCGTCGAATCATCATTCACATATTTCATCTGTACATTCCAATAGACAAAAGTTTTAAACGAGAGAAAGCAAATACTTTAGAGTGTGATTATTCACTGAATGTACCTTAACTTCACAGCTAGCGAGACTGTCGTATCTGACACTTCCAGGATTATTCTCATAGAGATTGAATTTAAGCGTCCCTGTGTTGTCGTGTAAGATCATGTTAAACGTGGACTGATACGCAGGGTCCGGCCCTGATCTCATCTCTGTTCTTCGAGACAGCTGTTCGAGTTCGACCTCCACAAATGTCTGAACAGGTTTGTCTTTGCCGCTGCTGCTGCTGTTGCTGTTTCCGGTGCTACTTTCTCCAACGTCGGAACTTCTCGAGGGGCTTCCGCGGAGAACGCTGCGGTGAAGATTACTACCGGAGACTACAGTTACGTAGATGATTCCTCCGACTGCTGTTTTGTGGAAATCAGTTGCCGGTAACGAGAAACATCCCCGGCGCGGCTCCACCATCTTCTTGTTCAACGTTTCCGTTAGGATTTTTACCTGAAACGAGGAAAGAGAATTACGTTTTTGCCCTTTGTAATATTTTGGCGGTAAAAAAAAACTATGTTGGAAACGAACCAGCCAAGAGGAGACGCCGGGAAGCTCTGTGGCGGGGAGAGATTGGCCACCGCCGCCACCGAAAGCAACTCCGATTCGGACTTCAGGGTTTGATACGAAGGAATAGAGCATTGCTCTTCCTTCAAGAGTCGGTCTGATCAGAAGCTGCAAGAAGAAGATAACAGTAAATAAAACTGAGAGAAAATTTCTATGAACAGAATCTGCAAAGTAGTTTTCTCACTTACATCGCCTTTGATGCAAAGACTGTTGACAACGATTCTTGCTGTTCGATTAAACGGTTTGGACAACTTTGCTTGTAACAAGATACTTAGATCCGTTGTATCCCAATTGAACTCTAATCGCATTATTTTCTAAGAAAAACAAGAAATGTAAAAATCAAACTCCAACCTTGCTTTTCTCTTGTTTTTCACAAGATACTTAGATCCGTTGTATCCCAATTGAAATCTAATCGCATTATTTTCTAAGAAAAACAAGAAATGTAAAAATCAAAATCCAACCTTTCTTTTCTCGAAGGTTTTCATTTGAAAAACAAGAGAAAAGCAACTAAACCTGTTCTCCTGATTGTGACCAGCAAGTTCCATGGAGTCCAAGCAAAGGAGGGCATGAGCCAAGAGAAAACTCCAACAGTTGTATATTTTCCTACAGAAAAACAACGATACATGTTTAGGATCACTGAGTCCAATATCTTTTAAGCTAAGGTCTAAGGGAAAAGGGGAAGAGTGAGTGCTTACTATTAGTCGTGATCTTCGTTGCCTCAATCGTTTCTGCGTTTTACATGGAAAAGATCAAACAAGAATGATTAAAGGGATCATGAAGCTTGTATCAACCTGCACAACACACATTTTAGGTAGAAAGAGCAGAAGTGAGAATGAATCTCACCTCTACCATAGAAGCAAATCTCAGAGAGAGCTTCTTGTTCAGGTAGTTTAGCCAAATTTCAGACAGTAACTTGTTCAACCATTGGCAGTGTTCTAATGGAGTTGTCGTCTGGAGAAAAACCCAACAAAGCAGCAATCTTATACTCCATAAAAAGCGATATAATGTGAATTAAACCAACAAAAACTAGGGTAACAGATATTCTCACCGACGCATTAAACGCGTTTTGCTTCCACTTCCTAGTTAGATCTTCTGCAAGTATTGCCCTTTGGTAACTTCCATACTGCACAACAACACATGACACAGTAAAAAAAATGCAAGACTTTAACTTAAATATCCTAACTTTAGATGTTCTTGAAGGTTATCAAGTTAACATAAGGAAGCCCAGACCTTTTGTAGTATAACACACACATGATTGAAATCCTAGCTAATAAAAAGCTTCATTTTCAGATATTAAGATTGTGCAACTCTTCATTGTAAAGCAATTTTACCATAACTATCTCCCTCATGAGTAAAACAAGATCAAACTCTGTATGTGTATATGGCAAGTTTGCAAAAGTTAGGTATACTCAAAAAGCATAAAGCTTTAACTTTATTTGAGGATTATATAGTAGATTTCATGGAAAAATCAAATTAACCGGTGGTTTAGCAAGAACCCATTATAGAGACAAACTAAAACAAGAAATGACTTTTATCAATTTGTTAGCTTGAATCCAGAAAGCAATGGAATAAAAAAAACAAAAAGTGATTTTTTTTGGGAAATTTTTTACCTGAAGAGAAGCCCAAACAGCGACGACGAGAGGAACCCAATTGGAGAAAGCGAAGACCCATCTCTCGATTGCCCAGAAACCCAAGACCAAAGGAACAAGCAGCAACAGCGAATGTCTCTCAGCTACTAGATGGTTGAGAAATTCTCTTACGGCTTCGGTGTTTATGAGACCTTTCCTCTTTATTCTCCGACCCATTTCTTCAAATCACCTTCTTCAAGCTCCTTCAAGGATCCATGGAAATTAAAATTGACTCCGGGAGCTTTGTTGGGACAAGTTGGGAATCTGAAGTGTTTACTCAGACAAAGGTAAGAAATATTCCTGGATGAGCTTATTCTCTTTTTTCTCTCAACATTTGATTTCTTCAACAAACTTCACAGATCCACGGTGGGTCGAGATATTATTAATTGGCCTCCAGAGTGGACGAAGAAGATCAAAATTTCTGGGGAAAAAAAAACTGAAGAGTCTGTTGGGTGAAGTTTCGAATAAGAAAGACCTCTCAGACAAGAATTTCGATCTCCCAAGTTACTTGTCGGTAACTCTCAGCTTCTGGTAACGGATCTTTAGACAGAATGAGCAGTGTGAGAAGGAAAAACCTCACGGAGACTCTTCTTCCTTTCTATTTATTTATATGCAGAAAAATACAAAACAAATAAAAAAGACTTGATAAGTCTTTTTATTAATTAATTAATTAATTATTTTCGCATAAATATTATTATACATAAGAAAAAAAATCCATTAATATTTAGTATTTTTTAGTCATCAAAAATGAAACAGAAAAATAATCGAATTACTGTATTATGTAATTTATCTTTTTTATTTTATCTTAGGTCAACACCTCGAATGATGTTTTTTCTTTTTGTCATCATCTCGAGTTGATGTTTATCTAAAACAAAGATAAATCAATATCATATAGTTAAATAATCAACAAAAATTAGTAAAGTTTGCTTAGTCCAGCTTTTGGTCCTGACAATTTGTAAGCTTCTGTAACCGGATAACAGAATAAAATATATATTTAGTGAGATCCTGACCGTTTGTTAATCATAAAGAAAATAGCGACCGTCCGAGTGCCTGCCGCCTGTTATTGACTGTTCACTTCACTGGTCACAGTCTTTAAAATTATACCGTTGACATTTCAGATTGCCTAAAAGACGCGTGAAAATGTGATGATAATATTAATATCTTCGCACATTTTGTTCTATCGTTGCAGAGTCTTCGTCAAAGGATTAAATATTTACATCTCCTTCTAATAAATTTTCCATTTTGGTTCTTCGAATCTCTAGATAATTTTCCCTTTACTTCTTTATCGTATTCAAGAGTGAGCACTAATTTGATATATTGATGCCCTCATGATCAATATACTAAACTACAATTGCTTATATTAATATATTTTTATCCAGATTTGTGAAGTAATCCAACTAAGATCTATCTGAAACAATAAAATTTGAGACTTCGATCAAACCAAATCTTGAATTCCAGCTACTCCACATGCAAGCAACATAAGTTAAATAACATTGGTTAAAGATTCGTTTTGATATGAATAATTGGGTTTTGTTCTTATATTTAACTCGCGTTGTTTAACATCAGCTCCACTAAACTACTACAAATGCATATTTTAGTATTGGTATTCGTTATTCGACTCCAAAATACGTTTTTGCTAATAAATGGATACAATTCGGAAACAAGGTTCAAGATGAGTAAAAAGACTAAAGGGTCATTTTGCATAGCCCTCTAATTATTGACATTGTTCGTTTAATAACTTTAATTTAATGCGATTGAAAGTGGGAGGTCCTTCCATCAAAATCAGTGATAGCTTCACATAACCACCATCACGCTGTATCCATTTATTAGTCCATACTTCACTCAATACCGCGTATGTCCAATAAGCTCATAGATGGTTGTTGGTTGATCGGAAAAACAAGTGACTACATTCCGAACCCGGGGACGAGTTCCGAACTCTCAAACTCTCCGAAAGCTTCCCCAATACCTTCACCAATATCTTCGTCGTAAATCAAATCCGGAAGCTTTTTCATCACCTCCTGCTTTATCTGCTTACCCGCCAACAGAGTCTTGTTAAGCAGTGAATCAGAGTCCGCGCTGACGCGTCTCGGCATCTCCGTGACTTTTCTCGTCACTCTGACACGAATCTCGCCACATTTCACTCCTTGGAGAGGTATCCACTTTTCTGCAGTCTCGTTCGGCTTTAACCATTGGTACTCCACGAGGCAGCTACCGATACTTGAAGAAGGAAACACAGTGTTATGGTCTTTGACATGCAGCTCCAAGGAGCTCCCATCATATGGAAACTCCATTGTCTGGTTCCATCTCGGATGCAATGTTTTAAAAATCACCTGAAAACATCAAAACACAAAAACATATGTGAGTTTTGCTTCCTATGTCCCTAATCAAGTTCCAAAACAATTGTTTAATACATCTGTTCTCTGTATCTTCTTTCCAAATCGCACTCTAACATAAGGATCACTGGTTTCTCCTGAATCCGCAGGGGGGAGATCCCGCGCTTCAACAAGAACCAATTCAATAAAGCCTATACCAGAATCCGCCTGAAGAACAAAAAAAACTAAACATCAATGAGGGGAAAACAAAGAAAACTGAGTAATTTTGAATGGTCTGTATGCTTACTTCGTTGTACTCGGGACTAACAGCTTCAATCAAAAGCTCGATTTCTCCAGAACTAACATCTTCAAGAGGAACCCAAATATGCTTTTGGCTGTTATTGATTTCTTGTAGACCCAGCGTAGCTGTACCGATGTTTTCAGTGCCAAGCATCTCTTTTCTGTAGCATTTCACCTTCAGATATTCTTCTCCTGCCAACTCCTCAAACTCAAACTTCTGGTTCCACACACACTCTAGAGCGTTCACCGTCTTCTGTATAGTCTATATATAGTATATACACAAATATGAATAGTAATCATTAGATAAAAATGCATCACTTTTCATGTAATAATTTATGCAGAGTCGTTACTTACTTTTCCATACTGTAACTTGACAGAGGCGTCGCATTTCCCGGCCTCGTCCGAGACAAGATTCTTCCCGGCTAACACCGTGACGATTATTTTCCGGCCGGTTTTCGAGAGTAAGCTGGATGATGAGGCATCGAGCGACTGTAGAGAACTCGAGTGGCCACTGTTCAAGCTATGTGACCCGTCGGAGAAATGCCATTCTTTCAAAAGCAGCTTGACGGTTAACTAAATCAAATTCAAGGAGTCAAACTTAGGGTTTAAAACCAAAAAAAAAAAAAAAAAAAAACTTAGGGTTTATAACGTAGAAAAGAAGTAATTGTTTTCTTCTTCTATCGCTCTATCTTTTACCTCGCCGGAGCTAACTCCTTCAAAGGGAACAACCATCTCGATTTCTTGACCACAGAACTCGGCGTGTCTCGCAATCACACCGTTGTCAGATCCCAAGGCCCAAAACATCGTCGAATCATCATTTACGTATTTCATCTGTACATTGCAAGAGACTAACGTTTTTTAACGGACAAAAAGTAAATACTCAAGAGTGTGACAATTCATTGAATTTACCTTAACTTCGCAGCTAGCGAGGTTATTGAATAAGACACTTCCAGGATTATTCTCATAGAGATTGAATTTAAGTGACCCTGCGCTCTCTTGTAAGATCATATTAAACGTGGAATGACAAGCAGGATCCGGTCCTGATCTCATCTCTGTTTTTCGAGACATCTGTTCGAGTTCGACCTCTACATATGTCTGAACAGGTTTGTCTTTGTTGCTGCTGCTGTCTCCAACGTCGGAACTTCTCGGGGGGCTTCCACTAAGATCGCTGCGGTGAAGATTACTACCGGAGACTACAGTTACGTCGATGATTCCTCCGACGGCTTCTTTGTTAAAATCAGTAGCCGGTAACGAGAAACATCCCCGGCGTGGCTCCACCATCGTCTTGTTCAATGTTTCCGTTAGGATTTTTACCTGAAACGAGAAGATAATTACGGTTTTGCCCTTTGTATTTGTCGGTGGTGATAATTAAAAAACTAAATTGAAAACGAACCAGCCCAGTGGAGACGCCGGGAATCTGTGTAGCGGGAAGAGACTGGCCACCACCGAAAGCAACTCCGATCCTAACTTCAGGGTTCGATACGAAGGAATAGAGCATTGCTCTTCCTTCAAGAATCGGTCTGATTAGAAGCTGCAAGAAGAAGATAACGTAAAATCTTTAAACAAAAAAAAAAGATAACAGAGGAAAAATTCGATGGACAGAATCTGCGAGTAGTTCTCTCACTTACATCGCCTTTGATGCAAACACTGTTGACAACGATTCGTGCTGTTCGGTTAAACGGTTTGGACAACTTGGCTTGCAACAAGATACTTAGATCCGTTGTATCCCAATTGAAATCTAATCGCATGATTTTCTAAACACCCAGATAAATAAAAATAAATAAATGTAAATATCAAAATCCAACCTTTCTTTTCGAATGTTTTCAGTTTTAAAAAGTAACTAAACCTGTTCCCCTGATTGCGACCAACAAGTTCCATGAAGTCCGAGCAAAGGAGGGGATGAGCCAAGAGAAAACTCCAACAGTTGTATATTTTCCTATCGAAAAACAACAATACATCATACATGTTTAGGATCACTGAGTCCAATGTCTTTCAAGCTAAGGTCTAAGGGAAAAGGGAAAAGGGAAAGAGTGAGTGCTTACTATTAGTCCTGATCTTCGTTGCTTCAATTGTTTCTGCCGTTTAGATAGGAAAGATCAAACAACAATGTCAAAAGGAACGACGAAGCTTGTATTAACGAGCAAAAAGTACCATTGAAAAGAGCACAAGTAAGAATGAATCTCACCTCTACCATAGAAGCAAATGTGAGAGAGAGTTTCTTGTTCAGGTAGTTTAGCCAAATTTCAGACAGTAACTTGTTCAACCATTGGCAGTGTTCTAATGGAGTTGTCGTCTGGAGATAAACCCAACAAAGCAGCAATCTTATAATATCAAGCGATATAAGGAGAATAAACAAACAGAAAAAACAGATATTCTCACCGACGCATTAAATACGTTTTGCTTCCACTTCCTAGTTAGAACTTCTGCATGTATTGCCCTTTGGTAACTTCCATACTGCAGAGAACCATAAGACACAAGTTAAAAACACAACGTAAGAGTTTAACTTAAAATATCCTAACTTTATGCTAAGATGTGTACAATTTAAAAAAAAAAAAAAAATTAAGGCTCTTGAAAAGTGCAAACCCCCAACCTTTTGTAGTATAACACAAACAGATGACTGAAAATAGATAAACAAAAGTGATTTTTTAACCTGAAGAGAAGCCCAAACAGCGACAACGAGAGGAACCCAAAAGGAGTAACCGAAGACCCATCTCTCGATTGCCAAGAAAGCTAAGACCAAAGGAACAAGCAGCAACAGCGAATGTCTCTCAGCTACTAGATGGTTGAGAAATTCTCTTACGGCTCCCGTGTTTTTTCTCCGACCCATTTCTTCAAATCACCTTCTTGAGAGTTACCAAAAGTCTGTTGGTTGAAGTTTCGAATAAGAAGGACCTCTCAGAGACTCAGACAAGAATTTCTATCTCCCAAATTACTTGTCGGTAACTTTCAAAAGCTTTTGGTAACGGATCTTTAGACAGAATGGTCGTATTTATACATTACCTTCTTGTTTTCTTTAACAAAAAAATATCTTTAGACTGAGCAGTGTGAGAAGGATAAACCTTCTGGAGATTTCTTCCTTTTTTTATTTATTTATATTATTATATGCAGAAAAATACAAAACTCAAAGGAAAGACTCGAAAAGTCTTTTTAAAAGTCTTCCATTATATAAACAGTTTTAAAAGAAGTACAAAGATTAGAAAATTGTTTTTCTTCAAAAATTATCATTTAATATATTAAAGTTAACCAATCACAATAAATGACCTAAGAATATATTTAGACAGAATGAGCAGTGTGAGAATGATTGACCTCCCAAGACTCTTCCTTTATTATTTATTTATTATGTAGTAAAAATACAAAATTAAAAGAAAAACTTGGAAAGTCAATTATATGAAGTCAAAAGTCACCTTAATATAAGATTTATGTATATATGTGACAAAATTTAAAAAGTGTATGAGTAAAAAAACCTATAACTATTGTTTTTTGTCAAACATATAAAATCAGAAATGACTGCCAAATTAGAGTTGGGAGTTGGGAGGTTAAATTTCCAAAAAGAAATTTGTCACAAATATGGTTCTATATTGCGGATGGTTTTTGATTTTACAGAATTGACTTAAATAATTTTTGAAGGATTTAATTTACAAAAATAATTTAGTTTAATGGTTATTTTGCACAAAACCCTAACTTAAATCTCTTTTCTTAAATAATGTAATAATGAGAAAATGATGCAAATGAGAAGGAAATAAATATAAAAATATAGACAATATATTCGTTGATAAATTTAGATATTATATCATATTATTTATATCACTTTATGTATAATGATTAATATGGTAATTATATACTATTCTCTCAATTTCAAATTAGTTGTTATGTTGTTTTGAGAAAATGTATATGCAATTGTCATAGATATATCTAGAAGTGTTTTGAGTTTAATAGATCCAAATAATTACAGTTACTTTTTAATAAAATATAATAAAATATTATTCATTTAATATATTAGAAAATTGTTTTTCGTCAAAAACTATCATTTAATATATTAAAGTGAACCAATCACAATAAATGACCTGAAAATATCTTTAGACATAATGAGCAGTGTGAGAATGATCGAAAGACTTGGAAAGTCAATCATATTAAGAGATAAATATTTTATTAAAACTAATTACGAAAAACAAAATTCATGTGTATACATTTACACAAAAATTAGGTTAGTGTAGAAAAACATGCTACTTCCTCCGTTTTTTTAAGATGAATTTTATAGAGTTTTCACACATATTATGAAAAATTTGATTTTCAATCGTTAGTGTACATATTTTAGTAATAAAACAACTTTCTATAAATTTAGACCAATAAAAATCTAACAAATCTAATTATTGTTTCTTAAAAACAGAAAAAATACTTCAAAAAACTAAGAATTTTATATTTGTAAAACAACAAAAAATGTCAGGAAAATTCATCTTAAACAAACGGAGGGAGTATTAATTAATACTTGTCATGACTTTTCCTATCCTCGCCGTTTGTAGATCACAAAGAAAATAGTGACCGTCCGATGTGCCTGCCGTTATTGACTGTTCACTTCACTGGTCAGAGTCAGACATTTTTACCGTTGACATTTCGAGTGCTTAAAAGTCGCGTGAATGTGATGATAAAATCTGAGCTGGCACATTTTTTTTTGGCTCAACTTTAAACTTTTCATTATTCCATCACACGAATACCATTCTCAAGAGCTGACACATTTTGTTCTTTCGTTTTTTTTTTTGACTAAAGGCATTCATATTTAAAGCATAAGAGAAAAAAATACAAGCCCAAAGGCTAGAGAGTTTTTAGCAAGCCCATTGCTAGTTGAGTCCCAATAGTTAAGATTCTAACAGTAACCAGCTCAAAAGCCCACACAGAAAAAAAGCAAGGAGCTTCGATAGATCTAAAAGACATCGAGCAGTCTTTTTACGGTGCAGAAGAGATCCAGAGTTGTAAGAGACGTGATGCAACCACCGTGTTCGTGTCTCTGTAGCTCGCAATCCGATTTCGGATCTGACGGTCTATGGAAGAGACGATTGTGGTTTCCGGCGTGAAAATCCCTCGGTGAAGCCTGCCATTTCTCTCGGACCAGATCCAATATATAGAAGCCTGCCATGCAAGAAGTGTTAGTCGTTTCCATAGTTTCCCCGACGAGAGAGTCCTCATTTGTTCGAGTGATTGAGGCCATGAGCGAAGTGGCGTAATGTTGCATCTCCTCGCCACCGCACTCCAGATCCTCCAGCTTGCTTCACAGTCAAACAGAAAATGGTCTCTATTTTCCAATCCGACATTGCAGAGGAGACAGTTCACATCCATTTGCAGTCCCCAGCCTAAAATCCTATCACGAGTAGGACACCGATTCAGAGTGAAAAGCCAAGTTAAGAAGTTATGCTTTAGGATTCCTCCTTGACATCAAACAGCCTTAAACCAAGGTACCGCCATCATCTCCCCTCTTAGTTGTCTATAGACCTCTCCTGTTCCATATTTCTTATAGACCCGTCTGTCAATTTCCCATTCATAGTAGTCCGGCTCCGTAGACAGAGAGACTGTCGTTAGATGAGCTTGGAGGCTGACTAAATTGTCAGATCTTGCAGGCGGCATTTGCCATCGATTCCGGCGATGAAGGCTAGCTAGAGTCGCCGTCATAGTGATACCTAGCCTTGAATTTTCGCTCCCTTGCAGATAGTTTAGGATATTGCCAAAAGGTGACCAATTATCAGACCAGAATCGACATTCCTCTCCGTTTCCGATCCGTAGTCTAATCCACGGGTAGATGTCTTCCCTTAACTTTAGCAGCTTATTGACAAGCCAAGTGTTTCTAGGATTGGGTTTAACGGTCCAGAAATTACTCAGGTTCCCATCAAGAATTCGCGCTTTGAACCAAGCTACCCAGACCGATCCTGACTGAAAGAAGAGCAACCAGATCAGTTTCAAACAGCAAGCTTTGTTCCAGGTAATCAGATCCCTAATCCCTAGCTCTCCTGCTTCTTTAGTCTTTGTAACCGTTTCCCAAGAAACTCTAGCCGAGTGGTGGCCCTCCAAGCTCCCTTTCCATAGAAAAAAACTGCACATTGAATTTATTCGCTTGATGCAGGCTTTTGGCAGGATGAAAGATGAGCACCAGAAGGTGGAAATTCCTGCGATCACCGTTTTTATCAGCACCAGACGCCTTGCAAAGGACAGCGACAGTGAGCTCCAAGAAGTTAGGCGGGCTTTGACTTGTTGGATGAGTACTTCACAGTTCGTGATGCTCAGCTTCTTGCTACTAAGAGGAACTCCTAGATATCTGACCGGCAGAGATCCTTGGGGCATGCCCGTGGAAAATTTTATCAAGTCGCAATCAGTTTGGGACACTCCAGAGGCAAAGAAGCTGGACTTTTGGACACTCACGGCCAGACCGGATCGTTTTTGGAACTCATGGAGGATTTGCAAGACATTTTGTACAAAGTCCAAAGTTCCCTCCACGAAGATAAGAAGGTCGTCGGCAAAGCAAAGGTGAGTGAGCTTGGATTCGGCACATCCATGGTGATAGGTAAATCTCTGCTCTTCTGCCGCTTTATTCAACATTAGGGATAAGCAATTCATTGCTATTACAAACAAATAGGGAGACAAAGGGTCACCTTGCCTCAGACCCCGCTTGCCCTTGAAATAGCCTTGTACCATGCCATTGTACCCCACCGTGAAGTTAGTGGTACATATGCAAGCCTTTAACCACTTTCTAAACTCCTCTGGCAACTCTAATCCTTCTAGGCAGTTGAACATGAAGTCCCAAGAGACACTATCAAAAGCTTTTGCTATGTCTACTTTTATAGTGATTCGCTTAGGACCTTTAGTTTTGTGGTAACCATTAACTATTTCCCCTGCCAACACTGTGTTCTCAACTAACAATCTGTCCTTGAAAAATGCAGTTTGATTCGGGAGAATGAGATCAGGTAGCAAAGGTTTCAGCCTTCGAACTAGGAGTCTTGAGACCACTTTATAGAGGGTGTTAAGGCAGGAGATGGGTCTGTAGTCTGTGATCTTTGAGGCGCCTGGCTTTTTCGGAATCAAGGTGAGGATGGTTGCATTTGTAGCCGCAGGCATGAAAAAGTTGTCAAAGAAATCGGAGATAGAAGTTGTTACTTCAGGCCCCAGAATGTCCCAAGAAGCCTTATAGAACCCTGAGGTTAGTCCATCTGGTCCTGACGATTTGTTCAGGTTAAGTCGAAACATAACCTTTTTAATCTCTTCAGCTGATGGCTTTTTTAACATTTGTTGGTGAAGCGCAGGGGAACAACGGAAGGTTGAGAGAGATTGAATCCAAGTTGGTGGAGAGGGAAGAGCGACTGGTGGTAAAGTGTGAGGCCCCAGAATTGATTTGAAATGATTTATGGCATGAAAGCTCATCTCTATTGGGTCATCAATGAAGGCACCTGACGGGTGGAGGAAGGACCTGATGGAGTTGTAGCTTGTTCTTGTCTGAGCGATTCTCTGGAAGTAGGTAGTGTTCTGATCCCCTTCTTTCAGCCAGTTGATTCTTGATTTCTGCTTGAAATAGCTCTCTTCTATCCCTTTCAGGAAGGTCCAGTTCTCGTGGAGCGATCTTTCTTGGCTAAAGAGCTGTTGGGATGGCGCCTGGAGTGCTTGTACCTGCACAACTTGCAACAAACTGTAAGCCTCACTAACTCTCTTTTGAATGTGTGAGAAATTCTCTTTGTTTAACTCTCTCAGTGAACTCTTGATGGTTTTTTGTTTCCAGCACAGTTTAGTGAGCGTGGGAGCAAAGCTTCCGGCCTGAATCCAAGCCTCTAGAACCACATGGTGAAAGTCTGGGTGCTTGGTTAGGTAGTTGAAAAATTTGAAGGGACGGGTACCGGCTTTAGGGAGGCGGTGGGATAGGTCAATAAGGCAGGGACAATGGTCAGAGGTTTGGGGAGGAAGGAATGAGGCAATGCTATTGGGGAACATTGCTATGAGGTGGCAATTGACTAGGAGCCTGTCTAGTTTTTTCGCAATTGGTGAATCCGACTGATTATTCTTCCAAGTGAAGAGGGGTCCCTGGAACCTGAAATCGAACATCCCAGTCTGAGTGAGGCAATCCCTAAATTCCATCATTCTCGAGTCCAAGGTAAGAACATCTGGGTTTGAGTGTTCGGATGGGTGAATGATTTGGTTGAAGTCTCCTCCAATCATCCATGGAGCCGAGTTAAGAGATAGTGACTGATGGACATTTAGGAGCTCCACCCACAGGTCAGTTCTCTCTTCAGCAAGATTGGAAGCATAGACAGCCGTGTAGGCAAATGACTGAGCATTAGGAAGTTTGATTTGGCAGGTAAGGGTTTGCCTGGATTGGTGGAGGACTTGCACCGTAGCCGGATGTCTCCAGATGAGAATTACACGACCATCATCATCTGACAAATGATTTGAGGTATAACTCCATCCCTGGCAAAACTTAGTTAGGAGCTGGTTTAAGTTAGAATCTTTTATGTGGGACTCTAGGATAGAGCCAAAAAGGGGCTGATGGCTATTAAGCCAATCACAAAAGGGTTTGTGCTTATCCGGATCATTTATACCCTGGACGTTCCAAAAAAATAGTTTTGAATCCATTAGAATGTGGGTTTAGGTTCCCCCTTTAGAGGAGAGCCTTCAAAAAAGGTAGCCTTAGCAGTTAAGGAAGCAAAAGAGTTCTGTAATGGGATAAATACAGGGGTGGCGGGACGGGTCTTTGGGATGATAGGGGTGGATGAAGAATCAGGGGGAACAAAAGAGGTTAAGGTGGGGTGGGATCGGAATCTTTTGAGAGAAGCTTTTTCTGGGGCGGGGGGACTATACGGGTAAGGATCTCCCGAGGGAGTTATAGAGGCTGGGAGGGCGATGATAAGGGGAAGGCTTTTTGATGGGGACAGAGTTTTTGGTGGGGGTTGGGCTGGAGGTAAGGCATTGGGGAGAAGGGCTATAGGCGTTTTTAGAGGAGGTTTCAAGGTGTTGTCCCTTAAAGGTTTGAGGCGTGAGACATTGTGAGCAGATAACTGAGAAGCTCCCACTAAGTTGGGAAGGATTGGAGAAGATTTTGACTTAGTGGTTTTTTCCGTGGTCTTTTCTGGATCGGAAGCTTGCCCATCTGCCAACTTCGTGGGCTGAGGCTTTTCTTCTTTTCCTTTTGCAGGAGCTGTCGGGACAATCTTACTTGGCGGAGCATTCTTACTTGGTGGCGGGAGAAGGAGACAGTTCTTGGCAATGTGGCCAAGTTCGTGACAATGGGAGCATTTTGGAGGTAACCATGGATACTCCACAAAAACTTCAACCACTTCACCACTTTCTCGTTCGTATTCGACCACATCAGGTAGCTCATTAGACATTTTTACTTCCACGTTGACATGAGACATAGTAAGGCTGACAAGGTTCTTTGTATAGTCATATGTCTCCTTAGGTTCTCCTATGAGGCCCGCAATTAAGCTGAGTCCTTTTTGATGGCGCAGGTCTAGCGGAACACCAGTCAGGTGAGCCCAAAGTTGAATCGTAGTTGAGGAGGAGCTTTCCTTTGAATGACCAGCGGTCCATTTTGCCGTGTGGAACATTGAGTCACCAACATACCAGGCCCCTTTCTCCAGAATTTTTGTTCTCAGGTACTCGCTAGGGATCCTGACTATTAGGGACCTAGTCAACGGGTTGTTGTGGATCTCTAGTTTTTTGCCTTTTCCCCACATGTGGTTGAGCACGCTTTGAATTTGGCTGTAGGGTGGGGCTCTGCCGTTAAAGTAGCAGACAATGAAATCCTTGTGAAGCTCAGCTCCTTCCTCAAAGACATCATCATTGATAAGCACACGAGGAGTTCCTTTTTCAGAGAAGGTAACTGGAGCTAATCGCCGAAGGATTTATCGGCGAAGTGCCGTAACCTCTCTGCCAGGTCAGGAGTAGATGTTTCAGGGGCTGGTTTGGGCAAAGGTATTTGGATGGGTGGGGTGCTATTCTGATTAGGTAAAGGTTGTTGGATGGGTTGGGTTTTGTCTATAGGAGTAGTTTTTGGAATGATTATTGCCGGTGAAGATTAGGAGGAGGCTTTGTTGTTTTGGTGAAGGGAAAGTTTTTTTTGGGGTGAGAATGGTTAGGTTTTCACTGTTGGTTAGGGTTTGGTGAATAGTGTTTGGGTTTTCGGAGGTTTCTGTGGAATCTGGAGTGTCTGCCTGAGGCATTTCCACATCCTTGGTGAGTGTTGGGCTTACAGGGGTACTTTTCTTCAATATCAAGGATGTGGAAATGTCTCAGGCAGACACTCCAGATTCCACAGAAACCTCCGAAAACCCAAACACTATTCACCAAACCCTAACCAACAGTGAAAACCTAACCATTCTCACCCCAAAAAAACTTTCCCTTCACCAAAACAACAAAGCCTCCTCCAAATCTTCACCGGCAATAACCATTCCAAAAACTACTCCTATAGACAAAACTCAACACATCCAACAACCTTTACCTAATCAGAATAGCACCCCACCCATCCAAATACCTTTGCCCAAACCAGCCCCTGAAACATCTACTCCTAACCTGGCAGAGAGGTTACGGCACTTCGCCGATAAATCCCTTCGGCGATTAGCTCCAGTTACCTTCTCTGAAAAAGGAACTCCTCGTGTGCTTATCACTGATGATGTCTTTGAGGAAGGAGCTGAGCTTCACAAGGATTTCATTGTCTGCTACTTTAACGGCAGAGCCCCACCCTACAGCCAAATTCAAAGCGTGCTCAACCACATGTGGGGAAAAGGCAAAAAACTAGAGATCCACAACAACCCGTTGACTAGGTCCCTAATAGTCATGATCCCTAGCGAGTACCTGAGAACAAAAATTCTGGAGAAAGGGGCCTGGTATGTTGGTGACTCAATGTTCCACACGGCAAAATGGACCGCTGGTCATTCAAAGGAAAGCTCCTCCTCAGCTACGATTCAACTTTGGGCTCACCTGACTGGTGTTCCGCTAGACCTGCGCCATCAAAAATGACTCAGCTTAATTGTGGGCCTCATAGGAGAACCTAAGGAGACAGATGACTATACAAAGAACCTTGTCAGCCTTACTATGTCACATGTCAACGTGGAAGTAAAAATGTCTAATGAGCTACCTGATGTGGTCGAATACGAACGAGAAAGTGGTGAAGTGGTTGAAGTTTTTGTGGAGTATCCATGGTTACCTCCAAAATGCTCCCATTGTGAAGTGGTTGAAGTTTTTGCTTATTGCACTAACGAAAACTGATTTTTGTGAAGTGTTTTTGTTGTATAAACAGGAACTGGAAATTCTGGATTAAATTGGATTAATTTTTCAATTTTCTGCAAATTTATCTATTATTTTTTGCACGTTATCAGAATTTTATGGAATTAAATTTCTGGGTTTTCAGGAATTATTTTGATTATTTTTCAGATTATATGGAATTAATTTTCTGGTGTTTCAGAAATTAATTTGATTATTTTTTGCAGGTTTTTACTGAGAAATGATGTCATGGAGTATTGATTTAATTTTCTGAGTTTTTCAGAATTTATTTTAACCCTTTTGCATAGCTTCAGAAATTTATGTTGATATTTTTTGCATAATTTTCAAGCTTGATAGGTTGAGAATATTCTTCATGTCGTAAATTGACATGGGCATCATTTGGTTATTGCTTCAATTTTTAATTGATTATGGTGTAATCTGGTTTAATGCAGGAAATTCTGAAAGAATTTTTGTTTAATGTTGATCATAGTTGTGAACGTTGCAGGTTTTATTTGGTCAAGGGAAAAAAATCGTTGACCAAAATGCTTGCTTTGGTTTTAATCTCATTAAATTATTGTTTAATTAGCAAATGAAATTAATATATGTTTTGGTCAATGCATTGATATATTGAATCGTGAGATTCATTTTCTTTATTGCATATGTTTCTTGCATTAAAGTATTAATTTCTGAATTGACTAATTCAGTTATAAATTGTTGTTTATGCAATTAGTTTTGTATGAATTAAATTGTTGTTCTACCATTGAATTAAATTGTTAAATTCCTGAATTTATTTGGGGTTTTAATTTAATGATTTATTGCAATTTTAAAAGTGTTTAAATTGCTTAATAGATTTTTATATATTATTCTAATATTTTTGGTATGATGATTCAGGTTTGGATATGTGCAAATTGAATCAAAAGAATTTTAAAAAAAAAATTAGAACATTTACAAAAAATGTTTCTAAAGTGGAAAATCAAATGAGTTGATACCCCATGTTGGGAGTGGTCTACCATTTATGATTTTGTCCCATACCATTAGTGGTTGAAGGGTTATTGGTAACAAGTTTAGTGAGTTGACATACCAAATTTATTTTGGTAATGGTCTTCCACTTGTGATTGTACCAAGTTATGATATTTATCATATTGTCATATTAGTGCTTAGTGTTGTAAACACAAGACTAATGTTAGACAAATTATGTGGAAAAGAGTTTAAAATTGGTTAAGATATTGATCTTTCTAGCCATTGTTTAAACTTAAAATGTGAAAATGCAAAGTGCATGATTTTTGAGTTATCTCAAGAAATGTGGGGGAAACATTGTTTACCACATAAAGTTATTGACAAAATGTCATATGAACTTTGAAAAGTAAAGTACATTTGTACAAATACCTAAAAGTGTGGGGGTGCATAGCAAAAGTTGCAATGCCACTGCCTAAAATTGTTAAACAATTGATCTCAAATGGAGTAATCTTAATAGATTATATCTACTTGAATGACAACCTAGGATCCAATTAAAGGTGTGTCATGAGATCAAATTGTAAAATCATCAAGAGGAATGGGTTTAAAGCCTATGACTTAAGAGGAGTTTGATGGTAACCCTACCTAACTGATTGGAGATCCCATGAAATAGGTTCAAGGGGAAAACTAAGTCAAACTGAATCAACTAGCACTGGGAGACTCATGTCTCTACCCAGTTCCTAGGATGATGAACAGTGCTACCTGTATGGTGTAGAGGATAAGCTTTTGCTTTTAATGATTTGGGTCCATAACTTTGAAATATACATGGAGTAATGCAGGATACTCCTTTAAACAAAGTTAATGGCGAATCACCTTGTGAGTGTGAAATGGGGCCGTTTCTAGGAGAATAAATGAAAGGCTATATTCTCCAAGTTCACTCATGATTATCCAGGCAAGTTCACGGCCAAAATGAACACAATAGAGAACCTGATTCTGTGAGAGAATGAAGCTGTGTTATAGCTATTGTCTCGGTTTACATCAAAGCCCGAGAGGTTCAAGACATCATGTTCACCTCTTGGTCGAGTAAATCCGATAGTTATGACAGTGATTTGGTTCAAGGCTGAAAAATGCTACCAACTCATATACAGTGGATTTTTCGCTTGTACTCTCAAAAGTCGTTTTTTGAGTCTTTTGAGTCTTGTCTAGAGAGTCAAGTCTAGAGTTGAGTCGTCCAGTGTCTAGAGTCATTTCTATTCATGTGGGGGATTGTTGGAACTTATTTTTGATAGTATATTTATATGTCAAAAATGAAGTTGGTTTGAATGAGAAATGGAGGTCCAAGTGGGTTGCTTGTATAGCATAAAATGTAACATTTTATGAAATGTCCCATATTGGAAGTTTGAGGTGAAATCCTCTTGTATATAAAGTGGAGAATTTAAACAAAGTTTAAAAACTTGTGTATTGGAGAAAAGAGATATCCGGGCTGAACTTGTTTCGGGCCTCGGGATTGGCAATCGGGCCAACGTCTATAAGATTAATTCTTTTGATCAAGTATTTTTTTGATTAAGTCAACAAAAAAATATCTCTTCAATTAATTTTGTCAAATGACAATTAAGTATATTGATTTTGTAACAAATTAAAGCATATTAACATTATGAGAGAATTGAATTCTCATCTCCACTTTATGCACGTATACATACGTTGAGCATGGCTATAAAGCCATGTTTCTCTTTTCTTGTGATAATAAACACATGATCATTCACACAAGAAAACAATCTCTCACTTCTCTTCTTTTGTTTTGTTTTTTCTTATGAGAGTACATCACAGAAAACATGGTTCGCAAGCTTATGTATTGAGTGATGCAATCATAAGAAGTATGCAGTTTTATCCTGGGATTCGGAACGCCATGCAACCGTCACACTACGGGGCGTTTACAGAATTAAGGAAAAAGATAATATCTTGTCTCTACAAAAATGTTTTTTTTTTCTAAATTCCTATTCCTGATATCATCTTAATATTATATTTATATATTTATTCATATATTTTAATTTACAAATATCAGTTTGTCCTATTGTAGAATTGCGTTCCTACAGTCTAGATTTTTGTTTTTTTAGCAGTCGAGTTTTTCGTTCCAAATAAGTCTTCTCTCTGGTTAAAAGAAAAAAACGATCAAATTTGACAACACTGTAAAAATATATATATGCCTTGATGAAATAGAAACATTGGCCTACGTACGGCGACATATTTTTTTTGTTTTATATTGAAGAGATTTATTGTTATATAAATGGGTCCATCTATCCTTAATTGTTAAATTTATAATATGCACACTTACATATTTTATTTTAACTGCATTGGCAAGACTAATAGTGTTGTTTCTTTTTAGAAATGATTTTCAAATGGTTTACGTACATTCGCACTGCCTCTTGTTGAACATTTTTTTTCTAACTCGTACAAAATCGTTTTCGTATATATAAACGTGCTTCTTCTTTTATTGACTTTTTTTCTTTTGAATGAAAAATTCCAATTAATTCACCCAAAATTACTGTAAAACTTGTAAAGTAAATACTATGATAACAGTAAATATTTTCAGTTTCATATGATTTTAGAGATTTTTTGTGAGTCCCTGCCTCCGGCCTTTAATACCCAATATATAGGCACGGCCAACGTCAACGCATTACACGTTTCTCACTTATATTCAAAACAACAAAAATATTTTTGAGTCTGTCTCCCTGATTCATCTTCTTTAACATAATTGATCAAAAATATGTGACTTATAAAGATGAGGACATCTAAACGATATTGATTAATTTCTGTGTGGAACATAAGAAACACGATGGAAGGATCAAGGATGTTTGCTTGTAGAAATTTATTGAAAAGAAGCGAACACTTCAATTCTCAGGGAAACAAAAGACCATAATGGCGTATAATGTAAGTTGCAGCTAGCGAGAATTAGGTCATTTTATCTGGAGTGTCCTCTATTTGAAATTTATAATCTACAATGCAATTTTCAAACTTTCGAGTTCAATTATTCTTCAGGCACTAAAACTCTGATGTCTTTTGAATGAAGAAACTTACAAGTCCTCTCTGATATGTGTTTGGCACAAAACACATGAAGGGGAACGTTATTCATCATCAACTGCAAAAGAAGGATAATGTGACCAGACGCTTCTATCTCATAGCAAACTACAAAACTCTTTCTAGTAGAATGTGATTCTATTCATCAAGAATCTGATAACTCCAAATGCAAAATAAATGTAAGATACTGATATACACATATATTAACATACATTAGCATACATTTACATGCATATTTCCACCTTACTATCATTCTCATACATTTACATCCATATCTCTATCTATACACTTGCATCTCATTAGGACTTGCATTGCATACACATTGCATTTTGAGTCTGAATCAGGTGCTTAATGGAGCTTTGGAGCCATTTGGGAGAAGGAGTGTCGGAGACGTCAAGACGAAGAGCAACCAGGATGCGAACCAGGATCAGAAACCCGTTTGTCGCCTTACAAGCTTTCCTTGACCAAGAAGAGAGTTGACCATGCCTTAATGAAACGCGGCGTTCTGGAGCTTAAATCTTGGGGAAGGAAAGAAGAAGGGTTTTAGAGTCTCCACTATATAAACTAAAAAGTCCTAAGTTTTTAGGCACCTTGTAATTTGTCTTTCATTTTGCCACCAAGAAATACTCTAGTTCGAGATCTAAGACTTTGTAAGCTTTGGTCTCTTTCTCTTAATCAAATCACGTACTTGTTTATTTTTATTTTCCATCTCATTTACTTGTGAAACAACCTTCCTCTTATGAGAATCGGGTTGTCAAACAGGATGAGTGAGTAGTCTTTAGATTGTTTTAGGTGATTCGGTTTTGAGAGCTTTAAAGGAGAGTTTGGGCTTAAAGCTAGAACCTTTAGAGTTTCTCCTTGCTTAGTGCCCTTAAGGCTGAGTCATTTCTGATCATCTTGGCTCAGATCTCAAGCTCTCAACACATCAAAAGTGTGTTTGAGAGCTAGATAATCTAAGACAAGGGATCCGCTTTTCTAGCTCGCGATAGCGATTTGTTTAGAAGCTTTTTGGTGATGGGATCTGCGTTTAAAGCTTGCTGTGTAAGCTCACTCACGATAGTGAGTTCTTGAGCTTGGACCTTGCATTCGAGCTCATTCACGATAGTGATAAGCTCTTGCTTTCGTTTTCCTTAGCCTAGAAACTCGGTTTTATCTTCTAAGTCTTAAAGCTTCTTCCTTTAGCTCGATTTCCATCCGAAATCACCTAAAGCTATCGCCTTTCTTCATTTTCCTTATCAAAGTTCAAGTCTTTTAGCTCAAAGTCGATTTCTTTCCTCTTTGAATTTGATTTGGACCGTTATTTCACTGTTCTAAGTTTGTATTTTACTGTTTAACGTTCGGATTTCATAAAAACCAAATCTTGTTCTTGGCTTGAAGTTTTCTTGTTCAATCTCTAGAACCCAATCTTCTCCTGAGATTTGGATTGATACCTTAAACTATACTGCAATGATATGAGCAGAGATTTGAGGGTTTGGATCTACTAAAAATTTTGTTTCAATACACTTTTTTTCTTCTCTATATTCCATCCGAAACACAAAAAGCTTGAACGTGTAGTTCTTTTATACATGAATTTGAATTTCAAAGCAGATAATCAGTGAAGGCCTTTTAACCAAAAAAAAAAAAAAAGCAGATAATCAGATGAATCGGTTTAGCTATATAACCTTAAGCTCAACAACGATGATGCGATCGAGTGAAATGACAACATAATAAGAGAGTGATTATGGAGGTACGGTTTAACTGATCTGAATCAAAATTACACGATTCAAATGTTGATTCAATTCTTTTTCTTGTCCTCAATTGGTAAAAACGATGTAATATTTACTCCACCATTATAGATAAAGTTAACGGAGCTAAACATAAAAAAAAAAAATTTATTGTATGCACACTTATATACTGTCATTACATTGGTAAGACTATTTTGCTGGATCCTTTAAAAAATGATTTTCAAATGGTTTACATTGACACTGCATCTTGTTGGACATTTTTTTCTATCATATTGTCGTACAAAATCGTTTTCGTATATATAAACTTGCTCTTCTTCTTATTTCCTTTGTTTTTTTTTTTTTTAATTGAAAAATTCCAATTCAAATATATATTATAATAGTTAGATAACTCTCTTCATCGATCTTGATGATACATCAATATTTTCTGTTAATTATAGAGATGTCATATGGTTGTGGAAATCCCTTAGCATAGTGGTTGATTAAGGTATTTAATGCTTCTACACCAGGAGGGCTGGGTTTCGAATCCTGTGAATGCGATTTGCTAATGATTTATACAGATTAATGGAGATAAACGAGGTCTACAGATTGGTGGACGTGAAACCATCGGTCGTGGAGCCTTTGAAAACGGTGGAATCGGCCGCTGTAGAATTGTCTTGTAACAGTTTTCATAATTTGCATTAGATTAGTTAATCACTGTTAAAAACAATATGTCATATGACATCTATTTATTGAAAAAACTATCTATACTATACTATAGTAGTTAGATAACTCTCTGATGACATATGTTGTTGATTATGGAGATGCTACATGACATCTATTTATTAAGTTTAAAAAAAAATGTTTGATGATTTATTAATTTCTACAGTTAACATAACTCTTCACATTCTCATGTTTAAATAAAAAATTTAAGTAAATAAATGAAAGTTTATCGAAGGTTTAAAGAAAAATAATGATAATAATTAAGTATTCATGAAATATATTTACAAATTTTTGTATAATTTTTTGTTCATTTGCTTATATATAGAAATATGTGAAAATGTTACGTATAAACAATATAATAGTGTCGGTTAAAGATCGATTAAAGATAATTCATATATCATAAAATAGTATTCAAAGTATATTAATAAATTTAGGATCAGGCAATACTTAGTTAAAACATTACTTTAAAAAAATTGAAAATTAAAATCATGATACAAACAAATATTGTAAGTCATTTTTTTTTGGTGGGTTGTGTGGGATTCGTCTCCCACCTTTATTCATCCAACAAAATTAAGAACTACAAACGTGTCGCAGATACACAGATCCAAGAGAATCTTCCTGCAACAACGAACTAACAACAGCAGGAACTGCCTCAAAAAAAATGAAAACCTAGAGCAAGGGTATAAGCATAGTTAGCTAACCCATCAGCTAGACGATTAGTCTCCCTATATACGTGAGATATTTGGACCTCCCAGTCCCTTTTGATAAAGCCATGGCACAACTGTACCAGGAAAGACAGAGGATGAGACTCACCAATCCCTGTCGTGAGGAAACCCACTACCAATTCAGAATCCACCTCGACTTCTAGTTTCGGTATCCCCTGTCCCAAGCAACGCATAAACCATAATAGTCCCCCCATAGCTCCGCTAGAGGCGCTGTGCATCTTCCAATATGAAGAGCAAAACCTCCACACCATTCTCCGTGGTGATTGCGTAACACACCACCTGCTGCAGCCGAGCCTGGATTTCCGCGTAAAGCTCCATCCGTATTCAGCTTTGTCCACCCGACATGTGGATACTCCCAACTAACATACGTTCCACTCTAGTTGGTTTAGTGCTTTGCGGCTTACAATTCTGTAGCACTAATCACATCCTTCGCTATCTCCTTGAGGAAACGCACACGGTTCGGCATTTTCTGTTTTCTCCAAATATTGTAAGTCATTAGTATGACAATAGGAATTTTAAAATTAAATATAAATACTTATAGTTAAATTAAATTAATAAAATGTAAAATTTGGTATAGTTTTATCCCGCGTTCACAATTCTAGTATTCTAATTGAGTAATATCTATAACAGTCAATGGTTTGTTGCAAAATCTCCAGTTTTAAGTCCTAAATTCCAAATTTAGCAACTTAGCAGTGTTAGGCTGATAGCAGTTCGGACCCTCGGTACATGCCAGTTTTTCTAGTGTGGTTGGTTGAGGCTTTATAAAGAACAATACTTTGTATTTTTTTTTTGGTTTGTGAACAATTCCTCTTTACAAAACAAAAGAAAGAAGTCCGATTGAGAAATTTTCATTGATTTATATTTTCAGTCGAAAATAACTGAAAATAGTATTTTAAAATCAATAAACTAAGTAAGTAACTAACTAATACTTCATAATCTTGACAAAAAAAGTATAAGATAAGTAATCCAATATCCAGAATTATAATATTTTGTCGGCAACCAGCATTGTAATCATATAATTGTAGACTTTGTAGTTGTCAATCATATGCTCTAAGAACAACAATAAATAAATAAAACAATACTCTCTCCCCACATATGTATATCATTAGATGTGAGACTGTTAGCAATAGCAATATTTTCTTTCCAGAAGAAGCGGCCATGGAAGCCAAGGGAGCAAGACTGTATAGCTCTATTATAGTTCCATCTGTTCAAGAGATGGTAAAAGACAAGATGATCACGACGGTTCCTCTCAGGTATGTTCGGTCTGATTTAGACAAAGCTGAGATCGCTGATGACTCTGTTCTAAGAAACGAAATCCCTATTATCGACATGAATCGTTTGTGTTCTTCAACCTCCATGGATTCTGAGATTGATAAGCTCGACTTTGCTTGCAAAGAATGGGGATTTTTCCAGGCAAGCCTCAAAACTCAAAAGTCAAACTACTATTTCAAAACTCATTCTTTACAAAACAACCCCTCTTCTTTCTTTGTTAGACTATTAAACCCCATAAAGATTTCAAGTTTTAATATTGTGGCATGTCTTTATGAATATCATCTATCAGCTTGTAAACCATGGAATGGACTCGGGATTCTTGGACAAATTCAAGTCGGAGATTCAAGATTTGTTCAACCTTCCCATGGAAGAGAAGAAGAAGCTTTGGCAACAGCCAGGAGATCTGAAGGGTTTGGACAAGCCTTTGTGGTTTCAGAAGAGCAGAAACTCGATTGGGCAGACTTGTTCCTCCTTACCATGCAACCTATTGGATTACGCAAGCCTCACGTGTTCCCCAAGATACCTCTCCCCATTAGGTTTGCATCAAATATATATGTAAAACCATTCTTAGTATCTCCACAAGTCTTCTCTGTTTTAAAATATTTATATGTTTCTGTTTCTTCAGAGATACACTAGAGACGTATTCAGATGAAGTGAAAAGCATAGCTAAGATCTTATTCGCGAAAATGGCCAGCGCTCTAAAGATCAAACCCGAGGAAATGGAGAGCGTGTTTGATGATGAGTTAAGGCAGAGATTGAGGGTTAATTACTACCCGCCTTGTCCACAGCCCGACCAAGTAATCGGTCTGACTCCGCATTCCGATGCTACGGGACTCACCATTCTTTTGCAGGTTAATGAAGTGGAAGGTCTCCAAATCAAGAAAATGGCAAGTGGGTTTCTGTCAAACCTCTCCCAAATGCTTTCATTGTCAATGTTGGAGACGTCTTAGAGGTAAGTTATATAGTTGTTAAAGTCACTAATTTGGTATCATTGTAAATGGTTCTGATATTGATGCTATGGTAATGAACGTAGATCGTAACGAATGGAACATACCGAAGTATAGAGCATCGCGGGGTTGTGAACTCAGAGAAAGAGAGGCTTTCTGTGGCATTATTTCACATTGCGGGATGGGTAAAGAATTGGTCCGCTGAGAAGTCTCGTGGAAAGGCAAAAGGCTGCGTTTTTCAGAAACGTGACCACCGATGAGTATTTGAAAGGCTTGTTCTCCCGCGAGCTCGGTGGAAAATCTTACCTCGATGTCATGAGAATCTAAACCACCTCTTCAGGCAAGAGAGCCCTTTGAAACTGTGTTACTTGTTGGTGCATTCTCATAAAGCTTGAACGTGTAGTACTGTTATACATGAATTTTGGATTTTAAAGCAGATAATCAGATGAATCCGTTTAGCTAAACAACGATGATGCGATCGCGTGAAATGAAAACAGAATAAGAGAGTGATTATGGAGGTACGGTTTAACTGATCTGAATAAAAATGGCACGATTCAAATGTTGATTCGATTCTTTTCTTGTCCTCAATTGGTAAAACTACAAGAGTAAAAGGTAAAAACGATGTAATATTTACTCCACCATTATAGATAAGTTAACGGAGCTTAAACATTAAAAATTAGGAAAATATGTGACTTACAATCAGATCCATAATTTTCTCCAAGTAACTATCTAAACGAATCCTTAATTATCATCACATTTTTAAAGTTTAAACCTGGATTTCAGCAATCTAGTGGCGTAAAATTCTTAACTGTATCAGCCTCAAAAAAATTAATACCTTTCCGTTATAACCCGAAAATTAATTAATTACACTTACAATACAAAATTAATCTCTCCTTACGTGGCGCAAAGTATCCACTTAGAACACGAGGCAAAATACACGTGGATCACAGGCAGAGACAAAATAAAAAGCTTATAAAAGCCACTCCTCCTCTCCACTTCCACAACTCCTCAAATCCATAATGAATCATCAAAATTTTGTCATTTTCTTTTACTTTCAATAATCGTTTTTGGTTATGAACTTATGATTCATCATTATTTATTTATACTTTAAGCAAAAAACATTACTTCTTTGATTTTTTCTTTCATATAGTATATGAAATGAGCTCAACGTTCAACGACCACCATCATCCCCACCATCCAAAGAGAGAACCAAATGACAACTCCGGCGCCGGTGTCGGAATCGTATATCCTCCGTCGCCGTCGCCGTCTCCGTTGCTGAAACTTAACAAAGACTCTCACGTCATCAAAAAGCCACTATCTCCATCGTCTTCGTCCTCCGCGGCGAAGCCACGCCAGCCGGTGATCATCTACACAAACACCCCCAAAATCATACACACTAATCCAAAAGATTTCATGGCTCTTGTTCAAAAACTCACAGGAATGTCCCGCTCCGACGAAGATCCCGGCGGCAACGCGACAACGGATCGTGGAGGAAAGTCAATCAACCGGAGCGTCTCCGATCTGACCGTCGACAGAAAAATGAATCGGAATCGCAGCGGTGGCGCCAACACCAGCTACAACAGAAGCTACTCCGGCGCCGGAGCCGGTACCGGAAGGGGGATGTTCTTCAACAATGCGACGATTAGCGAAGATAGCGAATCGTCGTCGGTGATAACAACGGATGAGAACATGGGAGAGCATGGACAGGTCAATTCGTCTCTGCCGTATTCATCGGTGTCTATTCCTCCACCACCTCATCCTCCTCCGCCGCCGCCACCGGCTCCGTCGATGTACGATGCGACCGGGATTAACTATGGCAATTACTTCCCGGCGTTTCCGATTTTCCCGCCGGCGAATCCAGCCGATAGTTTTCTGTGCGGGAATCAACCGTTTGCGAGTTTTGATGATCCGCTTTACTTCGCGCCCAACATGAGAAGCTCTTTCTCTTCTTCTTCCTCTTCTGGCTTCGATGGCTTGACGGAGTTTCGCGACTTTTAACATTCTGGCGTCGTTTCAAATGAGAAAATTACATTATTTCTTTTTTTTTTTCCTCTTCAGGAAAATAAATTTTTGTTCGACTAATAAATTTTGGCATTAGTTTACTTATTTTTTTTGGCATTAGTTATGAATTTATGATCCGTTTACTTGTACTCGAAACAATGTTCTCTGTGATCATTTCTTACTTCACATAGTGTTTTTTTTTTCTTTCTTTGGCATCATCACAATTCACAAAACTCTTTCACTTTTGTTCAGTTTTCCAATTTCACAATACCTTTTCTGTTATGGACAATCTGATTTTATCGTCTGGTTTATATTTTTTAATACAGTTGGATTTGATAAAAATTTAATTTGGTTTTCAAATCCGTTTTTGAGTTCAAAAGTAATTTCAAATTATAAAGAAAGGGACAAATATGTAAGAAAAGCGTGCTTGTACGTACAACCAATACTATTACTCTGTTACCGCCGAGATTGGGCATGGTACTGTATATAACAAGCGAGTCTTATGTTGGTCACAGAGAAAAAGGTCCTGAAGAAATCAGACCAGTCCATGACATAAAATCTTTAGTATATAATGTACTTAGCATAAAACTTTTCAGGCAGGCCAAAAACTTCCTGAAAAACTTGTCAAAATTTTTATCCAGCTCAAGATTTGGCTCACGACTCATTTACACACAAAATGATACATACATACATAATACATTTATAGGTAAGTATAAAAATCAAGTATGTACATACAAGTACACCTGTGCAACTATAAAAACGGCCGTTTCCTCATTTTTGCTTCTTCTTCTTCTTATCGTTCTTGTCATGTTGGAGGATCACAGGAGCCGCCGGTATACTAAACCACCACTCTCTCAACCGCCTCACCAGCCGCTCCGTGCTCGATCTCCGTGGCGGCGAGTATCTTGTGAAAAGCTCCACAAACACCACCAGAATCAAGTATCGTCCTGGAACAAAGGCCATTGACATAGCTACAACCACCATCGCAAACGCAAACTTCTCACTCGCCTGAAATAGCGGTTTTAAATTGCGGTTATACACAAGGAGTAGGAGAAACCGTTTGTGTTAAAAAAGCCGACAAACCTGAGGAAAAAGAGAGAATAGTAAAGCTCGGAACTTGAGGAGGACTATGTTTCCATCTTGAATGTTCTGTTCGAGCTGCGAGATTCCGTTCTGGACCGCCAAAAGCTGTTCCATCGTGTTCATTGGAGGAGGAGCAGTTACTTTCAGCTCAACCATGAGCTTTTCTCTGCTGATACATCTTGTCAGAACCATGAACATTGCAGAGCAGAGAGACGCCAGAGCTAAGATATAAACAACCCATCCTTTCCAAATTATGAAACTGGTGAAGATACAGAAAACAATAGACTTCATGGGATCATCCCAATATATCAGAGACAGTATCAAGTTCCCAGTTTCCACTATCGGAATCATCAGTTCCTGTAAACACAAACGCAGTTTAACATTTTATATAAATAAAAAATCTTCCCATTAGAAAATGTTGTTCTTCTGTTTTCTTTACCTTCATGACGGCTATGTTGGTGTCAATGCCATCCATTTTAACTCCATTAATCGTCTCTTGCGCAAGCACTACCTTCTCGTAGTTCTTACGCGACTCCTTCACTGCTCTCTCTAATGGATTCACATCTCCAACCACTACTTCACCCACCACAAGACTACTCGTCTCACTCGTTCTGCTCCTTGGACTCGATCCTCCAAACACACAACCCAGCTGTGAAACCATATCTGAAGCTGAAGAGTGTAATGTCCCTGATAAATAAATCACATATACACTAGACATTAACTTCTTGTCATCACAATCTTGGTCATGATCAAGAAAACGACATTAGTTATAAATTATCTTTGACAAGAAGTAGTGTAACCTGTATCTTTTGGTTTATTTGATCGATGGAGCTCTCTTGAAGTAGACATCTCAGCAAGCGTCTCAAGAATCAGATCTCCACCAGGAAGCTGATCACAGAGATTGAACGGGAGAAGATTTTCGTAACGCATGGAGTTTGTCAAACTGAGTTCTTGGATAGCTTGCACACGTATGATGCCAAGCACAGCCTTTGAGAGTGCTTCGTCTCTTGCCAAACCTGTGATCTTGTACTTGTTTATGTACCTGTGAACGTATAACACTTCGTGTATCGCAGCGAGCCAGTAATCACGACGTGTGTGTCCTTTAAGCTCAGGGAACTCCATTACCACCGGTTCTGATCTAGAAAAGAAAAGAGCCAATAAAAGCTGTTAATTGGTCTCATTCAAAAACAGAGCAGTCCAAGAGCTAATGATCAATTCAATGGCCTTACAGAGATATAGACTTGTAAGAAACGGCCTTGTCGAATAGCCGAGTGCCCCAAGGACCAGTTAGCTCGGGCTTAACTAATTGCTTTAGATCTTCAGATAGGTCATAACGCTTTGGTTTGTCATAAGACACGACCTTTAAGGCCTCAAAATAGAGTGAGTGGTCTGTCAGGATCAAGCGACCTGAATAGTAATCATGACAAATGTGAGCGGTATGTATGTAGACATACTCAAGACCGTGACTGTTGAGAAGTTACAAACAATACCTGGCCATGTTGATATTCCAACATGTTCGAGAACTGGTTGCGTAGTAACAGTCCCGTCTATTTCAAGAATCTTCTCTCTTTTTGATCGAACACCAGAAAGCAGAGATGATTCGGACTGAGTCCTCATCTTCTTTATTGCTCTGCAAACCAAAGACAAGAAAACTGTCTACACAATGATTCAAGACAAAGGAGTTGGGGTTGTAACTTTTAAAGATAGAAACTCTACCTCTCAAGTCCGTGTACATACTTGTCATAAACAGAGAAATGTAGCCGACCACTCGTTGATGAAGTAAGCATTTCAAACAGATTTTCACAGATGATCACATCAGCAATTATAGGAACTGCTGGTGCTATCCGTGAGAAGGCTTCTAAACTCACTGTTGCATCTTCATCTACCTGTTTCAAAGCAAAAAGATGATCAAGAAATGATTCTCTATAAGGATTGCAGAAATAAAAATAAGGAGACTTACACTGAGTAAAGCCTGGCTAGAAACAGATGGGACTTCCCAGACGACCATCATGTCAAAGGTTAGGCGCCGGAACTTTTTATCGCCTAGATGACCTGTCACTCCCACAGAAAGTGAAAGTGCCCTGAAACAACAGTACTCTAGAAAGTTCCTAGCAAATAGAGAGGGCTGCTTCAGAGATTCAAATGCCTCTTGTTTGAAACTATCTCTCAGGTCATT